AGCAAACACAGAAAAATGGAACCAAATGATCTGGAAAAACAGATCATGACACTGTGATCACATTCTGCTACAGGAAGGAAATGAACTATGGAAGCAAATCTACATCTCGACATTTAAATACGATATAGGACACCATACATGAACAACCAGCTCAAGAAAGACCAAGTTCTTGAATTAAAGTTTTCAGAAAAAAGTATGCGACAAAAGCTTTTTACATCTATTATAACTCTCTTAACCCATTATATGTACCATTGCAAAACAATAAGCATGAATCAGTCAAGTAGGAGGCTTGCATCATGTGGTATTGTGCCACACCAAATTATGGATCGAGCACCCATTAGCTCATAGAGTCATCAGGCAACCATGGCCACCTTTGATCGGCACAAGTCTTGGGCTAGTTACGCTTAAGAAAGAGTTATGGAGAAGAACAATTATGTTTTCCTGCATCATTAATCCAGATACAATCATTTCAACAAATATTCTATTGGATATCAAATGGTTAATCAATCTTCATCTTTTGTTATTTGTTCAATCTAAGGTGTTTCCCTTGCACAAAATTAAGAGGAGGCAATCAATAACACAACTCTCAAGTTGCATCCACTGTTGTTGCACACATCCCACTCATCGAACCCTGTAACTCCACTCTACTGTTTCCATAGAAACGTTTCCTCTCACTAATGAGCAACAAGTTATTTTTATTGTAAGCTAGTCAGTAAAATAATTAGCATTCCTTTTTTTCTCTGAATGAATTATTGATGGACAATTTGATTTGGCTTCAGATAAATATGAACCACGTTAAATCAGATGGAAAGAAAGATTTGGACGGGGTGTAATCTGTGTGCAGGAATGTAAATAATGCAAAAGTTATAAACTTCAATTGAGGCTAGGGTATAAATCATTTATAAGACCCTTCTTCTCTTTCCCCATCTTGTTGAGCTCATCTCTGCATGGCGGTAGCACCATCTCTCAGCATCTGGCATGCCTTAAAGTGTATCAAGAAAAACAGTCTTAGTTTTTTCATTTATGCTTCCCTGAAGGAGGAAAAAACAAAACTACTATTTGACCAGGTGAAAACAAAAGATATGAACTGATCAAAACTAACAGATACAATTACCAGAAAGCTCAAACTGTGAGGAAACAAATCTATGAAATCTTCATGTGTGTAGTTCATGTTTTACACTAGTGAAGAAAGGACTGGCCTTCTCCATCAAATTTGTTTTGTGTGGAAACACTAACGGTAAATCAGGTCATCCTGAAATGATAAGGAATCTCAGTATGTTGGTGGCAAACTTACTGTCCTGGAGGATGATCCTGAAAATTATGCTCCACATTTGATACATATATAGGAACGAAAAACACATGAATAGAACCAAGACAATGGTTAGTATTATAAATGCAAACTCATAAAGATTTCAATATCGGTAACTGGAAGCAATAATGAAAACTGTGGGTCAAATAGGAGGACAAGGAATCAGTCAGAGGCTAAGGCATATCCATCCATCCATCCATCCATCCGTCCATCCATCCATCCATCCATCCATCCATCCATCCATCCATCCATCCATCCATCCATCCATCCATCCATCCATCCATCCATCCATCCATCCATCCATCCATCCATCCATCCATCCATCCATCCATGTATTTTTGGTTCATTTCTCCTTTCATTTGTAAGTCCTCTTATAATCTTTAAAATACAATGGCCTCAGACTTAAAGGAACCCACTCTGATCTCTGCTGCTTTACACCTCAGCTGTACAATGATCCAGTGTTTGGTAAAGGTTATGGCTTGCAAAGGTCCTTAGCAGCACATCAACTAAAAGAAGCAAATATTTGTGGTTCTCAGACAGGCCTTACAATCAGATCCACAGGCCTTCTTCAGATCCACACAACCTACAGTATGTGTACCAGACAGCCAAACTCTTTTAAACTAAAAATATGCATGCTGTAGTGTTAGTACAGCATGCATATTAAAAAACTCCGAGCAAACTTGTTAGCATCAACCTTGAGCTTTGTATTTTAAAATTTTTTTTTTGGTAAAAGTTGTATAAAAAATAGACAAACAACAAACTAAGAGCTGTACAGAAAAAAATACAGTGCAGTATAATTTCAGATATTGCATCCCAGGATTCTGTAGAAATCATTTTGTCTGGTATCATACATGCAGTACTGGGTAGTCTTTTATTTGTTTTACGTTACTGAAAACACATTCCAGAGCACAGCAATAGATTACATTCATGAGGATGCAGATAATCAAGCTTTGGAGAGACAGAGCTCTACCAAATGTCTGAATGCTCAGCACGGCCTGGCAGACGGAGCAGCTACTCAGTATTCTGCTCAGCTCTACCATGAGAATCAAAAGCAGGGAGCTGAAACAGAGAGATAGTATTCTGACTCTTAATTTGAAGCACATCATGATGTTTAAAACTTTTATTAAACCTTAATTTGTTCAGTTCCTGTCTTTGCTCTGCTTTACAACAAAATAACCTAATTAACCTAATTTGCATGCATCTGCATTTATTCATGTAGCAGACATGTTATGACTTGGTATGATGATGTGGAATTACTATATAAATCGAGCAATCTGGTCTATATAATAACAATGTCTGCAGTTTCATTTGTCATGTGCCTTTTAGGCTTGCTCTTCTGCTGCATAGAATATGGGCATACTTTCTGCTGCTCGCTGGATAAAATAAAATGACAGAATCAGAAACCAAATCCACAAAGACAAGAAAATGTGTTGACTCATAAATCAACAAGTTCATATGACAGCTGCATACATCAGCATTTAGACTCAGGCTCTCAGGGAGCATGCTGGATCTCTACATGCCAGAACTTCAGCAACACAGTCACTGGTCACATTCAGCCCCCCCTCAGGGTACACTTGGCAAAAAGGACAGGGTTAAAGGTCATAATCGGTATGTAAATCTTAAAATTCAGAGTTCATGCAAGACAAAATGTCAGCATTTCCCAAAGGGTTGAACAAGCAACAGTAAGTACGACACCAGAATCTTTAAACAGTTTCTATAAATATTTTTACATCATTTTCATTAAATAACACAAATTCCTGTTTTCAAATTTCAGAGTGGTAAAATGACTAATGTTAGTTTTTTTTTTTACAAACACTGCATGTGACATAGATCAGCTCTACGGGGAAATCTATAATCAAGACAACCTGAATTCTAATAATCAAACACTAAATAGATTTATTGTGTTTTAAATTTGTGGATTTTTGTTTAGTGCATAAACTGTACTCAGTTTAAGAACTGCAGGTGCAATTTTAAGATCCTCATTATAGATAGAGTGATTACACTGCAGAAACAATATAGAAATAAGAGGAAATATATTAAATTCAATGTATATACCCTTAATTTGAGTGGTTAATTAATTGATTTGCCAATGAAATTAGCTTTTTGCCTTAAAATAATATAATTAGATATAATATGCTTGAAATGAGATGATGATAGTTTTTTCTTATATATAAAATAGTCTTGTTCCATTGGCAAAGTGTCTTACCGTACTTACCTCCTCAATTAAAAAAAAGCACTTATCTTAAGAAAAAAATGAAATGTTTAGATTTCTATTTTTTGCAATGTATTCATCTGTGGTGAAATGAGTCAGTAGAAGCTGCATTGATTGATGCTATTGATGAATACTAAAGGACATTAAGTAATTAATTTGATTTCAAAAACTTAATATTCATATTGGAGAGAATGGAATTTAGACGCATAATTTACTTTTTTCAGAATTCTACAAAACCAAAAATTTATACAAATATGTTCAACTTTTTTAATGGAATAACAAACAGTCAGTTAAACTATTGTGGAATGACGTGCTGTAAGCAGTTTTTAGTTCCTGAGTATCAGCAAATTCAGCATCATAGTTAATACGAACAACCAAACTAACTGAAGCTAAATCTTGGGACACATGAAGTATGATCAGAAGTGTCAAGTAACAAAGTACAAATACTTTGTTACTGTACTTAAGTCAAATTTTTATGTATCTATACTTTACTCCATTACTTATTTTTCTTCCTACTTCTGACTTCTACTCATTACAGTTTCACACAAGAATCTGTACTTTCTATTCCTTACATTTTTAAAACAAAGAGTACTCGTCACTCTTGGCTGATCATTGGCGTCATCCACATCTAGTGAAAACTAGTGTAATTGGATAAGTCATATAACGCAAACATTGATTGGTTTGCTAAAGGAAATCATTAGAAGCAAGCAGGTGTTCTACAAACTGCAAATATGAATTGTCTATGCCATGCTACAATGTCGGATTCAGAAAAAGATGTTGAAATGTCTGAAAGGTCAGACACAGGCGAGAGCGTATCAGGAGACGGAGACCAACAAGACCTCCCTCATCCTTGGCCCTATCTCAAAGAATTTTTCGAAATAGTCGAAAAATTGAGCTTTCAATTCATATAGTGGCATTTTTTTTTTTTTTACTTTATACTATTGTACTTTAAGTAGTTTTTGAAGCACATATTTTTTCACTTTTACTGGAGTATAGAGGTCAAGTTGATACTGTGTGTGTACTTTTGACACCACAAAGTATAATAAGTATGACATTTATTTCTATTTAACACTAAAGATTTAATCTTGGAAATAATTCTGATCAGAGTTTGCACCACAACTCAGAAAGCAGATCGTCAGAATATTGGCTCAAGTTTGGTACTTCATTATTCACAACATTTCTGGTCATTTTAATGAAGTTTATATTTTAAGAATCAAATTCTTAAACAACTCAATCAAGGTAGGGGATTTTCTTTCACCATGCATGCGTGGTTGCCTCCTAACTGCTCAATGTTTTACATTCTGAAAGGGTAAATAGAAATGCAGTGTACAGCATCCTGATGGACTTTCCTCATTTATGATGTTGGGTTGAATTATTTAAAGTCCTGCAGACGGGAAAAGTCCCATCTCCCGCTGTGATAAACCAGCTTGAATCTTCCCGTTTTAGACAACTCACTCAGGAACTTCACTCTGCTTTCAGGATGCCTGGAGTGTTGCATCAAATGCCTGGGTGGCATCCCATATCCATCGCTGGTAGCCACCATCCTGCTGTATGCGGGTGTGGCTCTGTTCTGCGGCTGCGGGCATGAAGCCCTGTCCGGCACCGTCACCATCCTCCAAAACTACTTTGAGGTTGTGAGGAGCCCGGTGGACGCTTTGGATGTCTTTACTATGTGAGTGAAAAATAAGGACCTGCTTGAGAATTTATTATTCCTTTAAAGACAAATGAAAACAAGAATAAACTCCAAGACCACATAATAAGCAAAAGGAACTGATCTCTTATTATTATTGTGTGCTGCTGTTTTCAAACTTTATGTCAAATAGCAACTAAATAAAAATGTGGTATCTATATCTGTTTCCCAGGATTGACATAATCAAATATGTGATCTATGGTATTGCTTCGGCTTTCTTCGTCTACGGTATCCTGCTGATGGTGGAGGGGTTTTTCACCAGTGGAGCCATTAAAGATCTGTATGGAGACTTCAAGATCACCACCTGCGGTCGCTGTGTCAGCGCCTGGGTACGGCTTCCACTGCTTCTGCTCATTTACTGAAATATTTACCTCGAAATTGTGTTATTATTACATGTATAAAAAAATACTTCTCCTTGCATCTTATAGAATGCACGTATTTTAAATATCCATATAAATTCCAGCTTTTCTGAATGCCCCAAGGGTTTTTTTTAGAGAATACTAGTTAACAAACTGTATCATTAGGACTGAGGGACAGAACAGGTATGGCGACACATTCAGGAACACAGACAAACTGTCATCGCCTAAAGCATAAAAACTTAAATAATTTTTGCATTGTGATACTGAAAGATTTCCTATAAAGATCATCTTGAAAATACAGAAAGTTAAAAATTGATAGAAAAATATCTTTTCAACATTATCAGAAATATATTTGACAGAAACTGCAAAAAAAAGAGGCATTGAAGGATTTCCAAAACATGAAACTTATATGACCTAATTTAAACAGCTTAATTATGTGTACATTTCAGCATAAACTGAATTGTACTTCAATATTAGCAGCTTTAATAAAATTAATGCAATTCTTATTTTCTATTATTCTAGAGGAAACAAAATACAGCTGCCTTACCTGGTTTACTTTTCTTATCCTTCAGTTCATCATGCTGACTTACATCTTCATGCTGGCCTGGCTTGGAGTGACAGCCTTCACCTCCATACCTGTCTTCATTTATTTCAACATCTGGAATATCTGTCAAAATGCTACTGTGCTGGAAGGGGCCTCGCTTTGCCTCGACCCTCGGCAATATGGTAAAAATCCTTTTTCTTTCAGCTTTTTCTACGTGGCTAGTTTCTTTCTGATCTAGCTCATGTTTCGATTGTACGCTCAGAATCCTACTTTTTTGTATATAGTGATTAATCTGCAGCTAAACAAGTAACTGCACTCACAGATTTAAATTTCTATGGTTGCTAACGATATCTTTTAAGGGACAACATTCTGATTGTTACAAAAATACAAACACGCTAAACCTAAATTCAAAAATCCCTCCATGTTTCCAAATAAGATTATGAATCTGACTGTAGAGCATGAGCCATATCTTCCAGCCCATTAACCATCAACAGCCTGTGTGTCAACAACAATCTGCCACCGCAGAGGCATCAGAGCTCTATATGCACATGTGAACTGTTTAATAGAATCTGCTGCTACTTTTCTCAGATTGATTTCTAAGCTCTTATAAAGACAAATAACTGACTTTAATCACCTGTTTATTTCAGGCATTGTCCCACTTCTTGAGGCCAAAACTGTGTGTGCCGGATCAGAGAAATTCTACAAAATGTGTGAATCCCCTGAGGTATGGTAATAGGCATTTACTACAGTCTTACAACAAACGAAAACAAATTAAATATACAGATCCAAACATTGTCACAAATATCCTGTCTGTATTTGAGAATTTTATTTCATTTATTTGCATTTGTATAGATGACTAAAAAAGTTATGTTTTTCTTGTGATGTTTATATTTGTGTTTGATCCGTCACTTCAACTGTAACATGAACACAATTAGTCGAGGAACTCAATTTTTCTAACTGGTCAGAAGCAACCTGATATATACCCTACTTGTCCAATAAACTCTCAGCCTGCACTAACAAAAACAATAGATATACGTTCTGTGTTTGATATAGGAGTCTGACCATTAAAAACATCCAGTATACTGTTTTTAATGTTTAGGATTCATCTATAATGCAGTGTGTTTTGCCATACAGCTGGACATGACGTTCCACCTGTTCATCTGTGCCCTCGCTGGAGCAGGAGCTGCTGTCATTGCAATGGTGAGCCCCAAACAGCACAATGAAGTCATTATATAAAAACACACCTCAAAATAATAAAAAATAGGCAAAACACTGCGGATGTAATGCATCAATTCTGGTTTAAGCAGGATCTCTCTTTGCTTTGAGAGGAATGTGCAACCCCTTCTGTTATTCGTAGGAAAATTGCTGAGAAACTAGTGGCATTTTGTTGTTTCTTTCGGTTCCAAGGGAGATGAAAAGAGGTAGACAGAGGAAAGAAAGCATTTTGGTGCAGGGAAAGAGACAGGGTTTGTCTCCCTCCCTCTTTTGGAGGCGGTGGGCATGTCAAGCTGTCGTCATGGAAACAGGGAGAAGAAAGGCTCAGAGATTGTTGCAAACATCGCTCTGTAATTTGTGCAAAGCCATTTTCTGAAAAACAAGAAAGGGGTTGCTAGACAGAAATCAGTGAAACCGTAGCAAGACTCTCTTCCTCCTCTTATTGTGTCCCTTCCAGACAGAAACTTCAACCTTACCTCCAAACAATCCTGTAATGCTCTACAGGTGCTGGTCATAAAATTAGAATATCATGAAAAAGTAGATTGATTTCAGTAATTCCATTTAAAAAGTGAAACTTGTATATTATATTCATACATTACATACAAACTCATATATTTCAGATGTTTATTTTGTTTAATTTTGATGATTACAAATGACAACAAATGAAAATCTCAAATTCATCATATCAGAAAATTAGAATATTGTGAAAAGGTTCAAAATTGATGGCCCCTGGTGCCACACTCTAATCAGCTAATTAACTCAAACCACCTGCAAAAGCCTTTAAATGGTCTTTCAGTCTAGTTCTATTGGCTACACAATCATGGGGAAGACTGCTGACTTGACAGTTGTCCAAAAGACGACCATCGACACCTTGCACAAGGAGGGCAAGACACAAAAGGTCATCGCTAAAGAGGCTGGCTGTTCACAGAGCTCAGTGTCCAAGCACATTAATAGAGAGGCGAAGGGAAGGAAAAGATGTGGTCGAAAAAAGTGTACAAGCAAGAGAGATAACCGCACCCTGGAGAGGATTGTGAAACAAAACCCATTCAAAAATGTGGGGGAGATTCACAAAGAGTGGACTGCAGCTGGAGTGAGTGCTTCAAGAACCACCACACACAGACGTATGAAAGACATGGGTTTCTGCTGTCGCATTCCTTGTGTCAAGCCACTCTTGAACCACAGACAGCGTCAGAAGCGTCTTGCCTGGGCTAAAGAGAAACAGGACTGGACTGCTGGTGAGTGGTCCAAAGTCATGTTCTCTGATGAAAGTAAATTTTGCATTTCCTTTGGAAATCAAGGTCCCAGAGTCTGGAGGAAAAGAAGAGAGGCACTTCATCCACGTTGCTTGAAGTCCAGTGTAAAGTTTCCACAGTCAGTGATGGTTTGGGGTGCCATGTCATCTGCTGGTGTTGGTCCATTGTGTTTTCTGAGGTCCAGGGTCAACGCAGCCACATACCAGGAAGTTTTAGAGCACTTCATGCTTCCTGCAGCTGACCAACTTTTTGGAGATGCAGATTTCATTTTCCAACAGGACTTGGCACCTGCACACAGTGCCAAAGCTACCAGTACCTGGTTGAAGGACCATGGTATCCCTGTTCTTAATTGGCCAGCAAACTCTCCTTACCTTAACCCCATAGAAAATCTATGGGGTATTGTGAAGAAGAAGATGCAATACACCAGACCCAACAATTCAGAAGAGCTAAAAGCCACTATTAGAGCAACCTGGGCTATCATAACACCTGAGCAGTGCCACAGACTGATCGACTCCATGCCACGCCGCATTGCTGCAGTAATACAGGCCAAAGGAGGCCCAACTAAATACTGAGTGCTGTACATGCTCATACTTTTCATGTTCATACTTTTCAGTTGGCCAACATTTCTATAAATCCTTTGTTTTTATTGGTCTTCAGTAATATTCTAATTTTCTGATATGATGAATTTGAGATTTTCATTTGTTGTCATTTGTAATCATCAAAATTAAACAAAATAAACATCTGAAATATATGAGTTTGTATGTAATGTATGAATATAATATACAAGTTTCACTTTTTAAATGGAATTACTGAAATCAATCTACTTTTTCATGATATTCTAATTTTATGACCAGCACCTGTAAATCACACAAAGCGAGCCAAGAATCTGTTATAGGAACACAGGCAATAGCAAAGAACTGAATCCAAACAGTCTCCCGTGCTTAAATCTGAAGGTGCTGTCTGCATTTCAGAAAGGATGAACAGATCAGAGAGACATTCTTTGTGAGAGGAGAATCTGTCTTACCAACTCACTCATTAAAGCACAAAACATTCATTATAACCTGAGCTACCATGGTAACGTCATGGTTCAAAGCATGGGCTGGCATCATGCTGCCACCTGGTGGACTAACAAATTAAAACTCATAAAATTTTGCAATTACAATCAGTTATATTACTTCACTGTGTAATAAATAAACTAAAAAAACAAACCCAAAACAACTCATTCCTGACTTTTTAGCATCTTATGACCGTGTGCTCCTTTCTCAATCCTCTTATCTATCAGCTGTGGTATATTATATATCCAGAGAGGAGAATCCTATTAAACGTATGTGGGAGCGTGCACAAGCCCATTCCTCCTCGTGGACGCTCTGTTTAAAAAGTTGCTGCTTGCATCGCTCATGCAAGTTACTTTCCAAAAGAATATTTGCAATTTTTCCACTATGTCAGACTAACCACTGGTAAGTGAAAATGGAGACGAGCTTGTAGGACGGCCTTACGTAAACATTTCACCAGAATGACTGACAATTAGGAGGACCACTTATTTTGATGATCCACCCAGAAAAAGAAAATCATCCACTATACCTTTAAGTTAAGCCATTCTTTAATTGGGATCAAGGGCTATTTCAATTTAAAGTAAACTTTTTTTTTTATATTATGATATTGTTGTTAATTGATACTCTCCAAATTTCTTCAGTTCTAAAGGGCCAAACCATAAAGAAACTGCCAAAATATTTTTAAGGTACTTTACATGTCTTTACATGAGTGTGTACTGCCTGTCCAGAGGGTGGCGGTGTATAGAATCACATATAAGAGTTGGTAAAGATGCTTATAAGTCATCCATCCATTCATCCATTTTCTAGCACGCTTATCCCAAGTGGGGTCGCGAGGGGTGCTGGTGCCTATCTCCAGCAGTCAATGGGCGAGAGGCGGGGTACACCCTGGACAGGTCGCCAGTCCATCGCAGGGCAACACAGAGACAAACATGACAAACAACCATTCGTGCACACACTCACACCTAAGGGGACTGTAGAGAAGCCAATAGGGGGTTTTCAGTGACGTCACTGGCCAGCTCCCGGTCCGCCATCTTGGGTGGCATATTATCGTATATTAAATATATCATGTCGCGAATAGATAAGTACGCCAGCACGCTAGAGCCACCAGATCATGGAACATATCTGAGGAAATGTTCCGTTATCGACCATATGGACCCCTATGCCCTCCACGGTGCCTTGTTTAGCACTAATCCAGATGATTGGCCAAATGTAGAGCACGGTAACATAGTTCATTACCCGGTGTTCAGTGAAAACCCTCTGCACACTCTGGAGGAAATGAGAGCGTACAAGGGTCTAGAGGCTCACAACCAGTTCACATCTGGTTGGGTACGAGATGTCGAAGTGATGTACATGAAGGAAATCGCCATCATACGTGAACGGGTGAGTTTTAATAAGATGGTAAAAATGTAAACAATCCGACGCAGGGCTCGCTATGCTAGGTGGCTAACGGCCGGCGGTGCGCGAACAGTTCCAAAGCTACAAGTCCTTGGAGTCTCATGTGCAGTTTACGAATGGATGGGTTCAGGAGCTGCAGCTCATAAAGCCAGCAAACAGTGCTAACCGTTAGTGCTAACAACCACTCAGGCATGTAATGTACTTTTAACTAGCTGCTATGTGTTTCAAAGGTTTGGTTAGTAACGTTAACTGCCAAACCTCCCTAAACCCTCCGGGTTTCTCACATATTTGAGCCTTTTCCCGCTGGTTGAAATCAAGTTAAGGTGAAATTAATCAAATTAAAACACGGCAGAGAGAGGGAGTCCAGTACGCGGTAGTCATAGGCAGTAGTCTGAGTAGCGGCGGCGGAGACGGTCAACATTGCGGACACGGAAAGTAATACGTCATGACGCCCAAGCCCTATTATTAATATATTCTTACATGTTTTAAATGCTTGACAGTTAATTACCTGTGACAAAGTGAGCACTGCAGACTCTGGCGTGTTCCAGCTTAACACCGTCCAAATCGGACCTGGATATCCGTGTCAGCCATAGGTGACGGCGTTGTTCAGATAGCTGTTTTGTTTTTTCACATTGATTCACGATTACGGCTGGTATGCGATAGAAAGAGCGTTGATCTCCACCTCCACGGGCCGTGCAACCAACAATTACACACGATTTCACCATTTTTCACTGTCAATACTGCCTAAGGCTGCCACCCAATATGGCGGACGCGCTGAGTAGTCACGTGAGCGCGACGTCACATGAAAACCCCCTATTAACCAAACAGTCATGTTTTTGGACTGTGGGAGGAAGCCGGAGTACCCGGAGGGAACCCATGCATGCTCAGGGAGAACATGCAAACTCCATGCAGAAAGACCTTGGGCCAGGAATCGAACCCAGAACCTTCTTGCTACCCACTGAGCAGCCCGCTTATAAGTCAATTAACTGTAATAAAAAAACAAAAACAAAAAAAAGCATCCACATTCAAGAAAAGGACTTTTGAATAACAAACACTATCCGATTAATGTATTTCTCTTTTTCATGTCACATTCTTTTATTTATATCAGATCCACTACCTGATGGTGCTCTCTGCCAACTGGGCCTACGTAAAGGATGCCTGCCGCATGCAGAAGTACGAGGACATCAAGTCCAAAGAGGAGCAGGAGCTTCACGACATCCACTCCACTCGCTCCAAGGAGCGTCTCAATGCGTACACATAAAGTCCAGTGCGAGGCCTTGCCCTGCCACTCCGGCCTCTCTCCCCTCTGTCTCTCCTCTTGCTTTCTATCTGTCTCTCTATACCATCCCCTCCTGAGGGGGGGCGGATGGCGCCTAGGGCCCTCGGCACTGCTGATGTAACTGGTGCGTCATGTGACAATGTGGTCTGGGGGGGCTTCACACAGAGCTCCTTCGTCACAAGCAGCATTTTAAATGAAAAAGAAAGCCCCTTTACCTCTCTTGTGGATGGGTTTTTACAATTATCATTATGGCAGTTGTATTATTGTTCAATCATGTTGTTTAGTTTAGTGCTGATTGTAGTTTTAGTGTAGCTTGTAGAATCAGAGTTAGCAGTAATATTTCATCTTTTTTAAGTTTTATTATGATCTGTGTATAAATCTTTTTTTATTCAGCAATGAGTACCGTATGACTCAATTTCATAATTTATTTCTTTTTATTGATTTCTGAGGGGGTCAAGTGGGGCTTTAAAGGGTCTAAAGCACATTTCTCATGTTTGGTTTGGTGTGTGTGAAGATTTCATGTGTAAGAGTGTTTTAAATGAATGAGTGCTTAGTTTTTTGGAAATATTTTTCATCCCACAGCTATAAATAATCCCAATCTCCTGCCAGTATTTCCAGGGATTAATACATTTTTGCAAAATAAATTCAGTTAGTTTCATTTTTTGTATAAAATAGTTAAAAAATTTGACATGTATCACCAAAATCAATGTAAAAAAAATATATCTGCTAAACAGCAATTATTGAATTATTACAAATTTCCAATCAGAAGTGAGACAAGTTAACACTTAATCACTTAATTGAAGGCTGTTAGCTTGTCATTTCCTCTATTTTGAGAAAACATAACTTTATAATTACTATGATTACTCTTAAAGGAAAGCTTTGTGTACTGTTACATCCGTGCTTATCTTTATATTTTTGCACTTATGTTTAAAATCAGTCTGAAATGTATTCAATCTGAAATAAAATCAAGAAGGTCGGATGCGGGGAAGTCCCGTCGCAGCGTTGCCCCTTGGAGGGATTATAGGGTGTGATTAACAGGTTTTATTTTTCTGTCTTCATGTGTGTGTTCATGGCAGTGACTGTGTTGCCTACACGTTTTGCCATACGGCTACAGAGATGGCCCTTCACTTTATTGCTTGCTCATGTTTTTTTAAATCAGCTTCTCTCAAATCCCTCCTTCATGCACTGACTTGACTTTTTCTGTGCTCTTTCTTGATGTAATCGCTTTGCTGTTCAACAGAAAGTGGGATAACTGTAACATTAGTAAAGACTGTGAATTTATTGTAGATGTTTTTGTGCATGGAGATTCATTAATATAGTCTAATCTGACACAGAAGTTTATTTCCCTCTTTATTTTTGTAATTTAGATTGTCTTACTGAATGAACCCTTTGTTTATACGTGCAGTAATGAACCACCCACGCTTTTTATCCTTCTGATAGACTGTAGACTTTCAGTTGTATCTATTTCGTACCTTTCAACCATGTCTTAAAGCTGATTCTTGTACCAACATGATTTTGAAATGATGAAATGCTTTCAGCTTCTGCCTCATATTGTTTTTTTTTTTTTTGTACTTTCACAGCTTAATTTCAGGCTATAAAGGAAATCTGTTTTGTACATTCATGTGCCAACAGTTTAAAGTGGCTAATTTGACCTGTACGATCAAATTTGCTTGCATTAATAAAGTTCACTCATGTTCTTGTTAATGATTGTTTTAGTGTGGATTTTATTGTCACAATGAATTATCCCTGCAATAATTCTGCTTATCAGAGAACCCCAGAAACAAGTTAAAGAAAATAGCTGTCAGTTTGAGATGTTTCATTGTATTGTTTAGATCAACCATGGAAAGTACATAAATACCTGCCTGTACCTTGGATTATGTGCTGCATACATGAAAGGTTTTACACCATGCTAAACCCTCCATTGATGGGCAGGTGGAGTTTGGCTTCTGGCCTGAAACCACCGATCCTCTCAGCCAAGGTAATAAATCATTTCCCAGATTACAGTTTGCACTTTGGTGCCAGACAGAACTCCCCTCTCACTTTTTTCATGTACATTCCATTTAGATAAAACATCTTCATGGAGGAAATTCTAAAGATTAAAAATAAAAAGTTTCCCTTTAACATTTTGAGCAAAGAAATCATATTGTCTTTGACAACAAATAAATGACATTCTAAAGGAGTATTTTTAAACATTCAGAAGAAGAATATGAACTGCTAGTTTAAAACAAAAACACTAAGAAGTTGTTAAAGTGGATTAGGAAAAGCTTGGCTCGCTCACGTGAGAGAAAGCCTCATTAACATGTAGAATAGACAAGATGGATGAGGCACTGTGGTGTAAGTAGAAACCGCCATGTTGAATCGAGCGGTGTCTCCTATAGCTGAGCCTGAGTGACCCTGCCACACCGACCAAATCCTTTACTAATCCACCCCCACCCCTGTGTTCAACCGCACGGGTCACCTGTACTGAGCCTACAGTAGATCCTCAGCCTGGGTGTTGCTGTCTCCTATGGACTTTGAAAGTTATCTTTAATTTCTTTCTCTCATGTTTTCTGGGAATTCTTCTGATTTTCAGTGATTCCGGATGTCTTTTCTCTTGATCTCTCCTCGATGTGAACTTTTTGGGAGCATTGGGTGACACCATGCATCGACTGCTGTGTCTGCATGTATTCCTATGCTGTCTCAGTATGGCTCTGCCTTTTTGTCCCTCACAGTGCACCTGTGTCTTTCATGGACGCACGGATGGAACGGGAACCAGGTAACAGAAGCTTTATCGTGCAAAAAAAAAATGCACTTTTGATTTTTTGACTTTTTTTTGTCGGGAGGCACATCTTAGAATGCAAACATAGAACCCTGTATAATTAAATAACTTTATTTTCAAAATAATTCAGTTTTATTTGAAGATGTAGAAATATTCCACCTTTTAAACAAAATTGCCTAAATGTACTCTCAAATCCTTATTCTTTACATTCGTACAGTGACCAAAGAGTAGGCTATGCTAAGATTACGGGAGGTAAATAAAAATTATTTCACATGTAATATTTTAAAAACTTTTATTTGTAACCCTGCAAGTGTAGAATAATTTGGCATATGACACAAACTGGCTGTCATTGCTGGCATGCTGGAGTTATTAAGGTAGATGTCTCATGAAACACCAACCACAGCCTTTTCTATTGCCGCTAAGTAGTTTATATAAATGATCTAGACGAATTGCAGGGTATTTCCCCTTAAGCCGTCTGACCTGTATTGACTTAATGTTATATTGATGGCATGGCACTAATCCTTTTATAAGTGGGGAAGCCATGTTTTCTGAATGGTTAGCAATGCTAGTCCTTAGCTGTGTTCTTGGAACATTTTGATGGCTACAGTTCAGTCTGTAAAAAAAAGAAAGCATTTGTAAAACAGGAATGTGAAAACAGAGCATTAGAAACAACTATTGCATTGCCACTGGGTACATATTCCACTGCATGTTTTTACAAGGCCTTCCGTCAACACATTTTATATTCGAGTAGTTATGCTTAAAATTCATTCTTGAAGAGATTTTCATTAACAGACCTAAATTTCTATTGCAAGAAGAGGTTTTCAGACACTTTCAAAAGGCTCATAGCCACTTTTCTGAACTGTTCTTTAATGATTTTAGACCAATAACTAAAGGTCTATAAAATCAACTTCTACTTGCTAAGTCAGATAAAGATTTCCAACTTCCATTAGAAAGATTTCCTTAGCTTTTTGTATAATTGACATTCAGCTTAACTGCTTAGAACAAACGTTTTGGGTATTTCTCCTCCGTCTTCCCACCGGAGTTTGTTGGAATTTAGCCCTTTCTCCTGGACAGGGCTAGAATCAGTCTGTAATCCATGTCTCTCATATTCACCTTTTTGGCGCTGTCCACAGATATCCTAGAGCAGGGGTACTCAAGTCCAGTCCTCAAGAGCTACCATCCTGTAACTTTTAGATGCATCTTTTCTCTAGCACACCCGAATCTAAAGCTTCAGTCCCCTCATAGCTTAGCAGAGGCATGGTAACGAGCCACTCATTTGATTCAGGTGTGTTAAAAATGGTTGTATCAAAAAGTTGCAGGATAGAAGCTCTTGAGGACTGGACTTGAGCACCCCTGATTCAGAGTAAGGGTAGGAAAAATCTGTTTTAATGTCCCACTATCCTGCAGCTTTTGCATGCATCCTTGCTCCAACACACCTGAAACAAAAGGCCTAATTAACTCCCTTGCATGTTGCAATGCTTAGCAGAAGCCTGGACATTAGCCCATTATTTCTTTCAGGTGTGATGAAAAAGTGATGCATCCAAAGCTACAGGACAGGGCCCCTAAAGGAATGACGTAGCCTAACCCCTGGTCTAGAGTATTACCGTCAAGACTTTTTGGCTATTACAAAACATTTTCTTTGTTCTCCCTTTGGAATTAGAAATGTAATTAAAAGATCAAATCTGTCCACTGTTCATTTGAAAGATCTTTAACAGTGTCCTGTCTGGCAATGTGGCAATAAGAATAATTGTCTTGATGCCAAAAAGAGCCCAACAGATTTTACTTTCACAAGTGTAGCAGTATGGCATTTGCCATATTGCTCCACTTGTTTCATGCATATAAATTGCTTTATTATAATTATGCAGGGAGTTTTACAGTTTATATGGACACTGCAATGTCCAATGCCTCAACATTTCTGCATAACGTTTTGTCTTTTGTCCCCCACTTCATCCTGTAACAGGTTTACTTAGGGCATAAAGGCTTATACTTTCAATTCAATTCAGTTCGATTCAATTCAAGTCAATGTAATTTTTTCAAATAGCTCCAAATAGGAAAGTGTCCTCTTACTTTAGATTCAACTAAATCAAGTCGTACCTGAACATTTTTCTACCTAAAAAAAAAAAAAATCTGACTGCATCAAGCCGTTTACTTTTCAGGATCCAATCCTCCTGAATGAATGAACATTGTTGACTTTGCAGTAATCTCATCATACCAACCATGCATGTAGCAAAGTGGAGAGGAAAAAAGCCTTTTAACAAGAAGACACCTTCAGCAGAACCAGGTCCAATTCTCCTCCTAAACCACAAACGTTTAATATAACAAACAACTCAGTTTCTTTTTCATCAAACCACAAAGTTCCTGAACACTAAAATGTCTGGATGCCCACAAGTTGTTCTTGCTTGATTAGAATTCTTTAAAGAGGAAACATGTGTCCCCTTCACATAGAAATCTGGTATATTTTCTTCTGAATTGACCCCATTAGTGTAGTCCCACATTCTTTTCCACCTGATGTCACAAAAGAAACCAACATGTTTGAACTGTTACCTTGGAATACAGACACAGGTGTGCCTCCAATCAGGTTAGAATTTAGGTTGTCACAACTTCTTTAATCAGGCTTTTCCCTATTGTTTACATTAACAGTGATGTTAATTTATGTAAACCTCTGAATTTAAAGAAAAACAAATGTATCTAAATAAAACCTCCATATATCATTATTCAAGAGTTAGCCAAACAGAAATAAAAACAGGTAAGGTTTATTTTGATTTAATTATAAAAAAAAACAGTAAAAGTAAGATTATGGTTTTATTGAAACTCACATAAGGACTTTCTGCAATGGCTGTAGTGTTTTTATCCCTGGTATGCAGGAGGTGACCCACTAGGCTGACCCACTGTTATATCACACTAAATAGCCCGCATTAAGACAGGCTGTCGAAAGGATGGACTAATTCTTATCTGGCTGAAAAGAAGAAAAAACTTCTAAACATTTTCATTCCCTATTTTCTGTTTGCCTAAGAGTTCAAAAGTGTATTTCTTTGAAGAAAAGTTGGTTTATTCAATGCTATTGTCTCAAAAAAACACTTTAACAATTTGATATTTGTCTTCCAGATCTGTCCTCTGTAATGACCCAGACATGTCTGACATCCCTGTCAATGTCCCAGTGGATACAGTCAAACTCCGCGTAGAGAGAACTGCAGTACGGCGTATCCCAACCGAAGCTTTTTACTATCTGGTGGAGCTACGTTACCTTTGGATTACCTATAATTCCATTACATCTGTTGACACAGGCAGTTTTTACAACCTGAAAGTGCTCCACGAGCTGAGGCTGGATGGGAATATGATTTCAGTTTTCCCTTGGGAGTCCCTCAAAGAGATGCCAAAGCTGAGGACACTGGATCTTCATAACAATAGACTTACCAGTGTTGCCCCTGAGGCCATTCCATACCTTGTCAATATCACCTATTTGGATCTATCCAGCAACAAACTGACTACCCTGCCCTCTGACCTCATGGATATCTGGCCACCCTTTAACGGTGTCCCTATCTCTTCTAATGCCTATCAAAAAGTCATTTTAGGTGAGTGGAAACAGTTCACCCAGCTTCATTCTACAGGATAATAGGGCCAAGTCAGGACGGATTTGGGGTTATTGGGTCACTACCTCAGGAACTTGTGGTGCTGGGGTGGTGACTGCCAGGTAGCTAAGCCTAAGGCGTGCAAAACACTGGATGCCCTTTGCTGTTCTAATTTATTTCAAAATAATCTCCCAAAGTGAGTATTGTAAAATAATAATAATAATAATTATAATAATAAGATTAATAGATATGCTCTATTATCTCTTCGATTCTGCTGGATTTCTATTGCAAAACAAGAAGGAAGGAAAAGTTTGCATCACAACCCCCTTTTAAAGCTGCTCACACACAGCCTAAGAGATGAAAACTGAAAAACATATTGCAACCGTTTTTGTCATCTACTTTTATATTCTACCATGCTATCGTGAATAAAGTGTGTTAAAGTAACTAAATATAATTAAGTAGATGCCAGAAAGGGTTGCATTATTTTTTCAGCGAACGTTTATGATGCCCCCTCACATAGATTCAATGGGAAATTAATGGGCCAGGTTGTTTCAACCAGTTGGGATTTGTACTTTTCACACATTGTCACAACATAGGTTTCAGGTCATTTGAGCTTATCAAGTATCACTTTCCATATCCTCCAGGGGAGATGTCCTATCCCATTGGACAGCTGATGATTTAAAGTAACTCTCTATTGTAAGCTTTACTATGAGTAAACACAGGGATATGGCTACAGTAAAAACAACATAGCATAGAAGGATGTCGGCAAAAGTTATTTTGCTTTGAATTTTGATCATAGCATCTCATAACTTAAAGACCTGACTTCCCCAATTGTGGTTTAAATAAAGAATAAAAATATAAAAGCACAGTTCACTTTAACTACCATTTTTATGAAAATTTGACTTTAAGTAGATGTAAAATAAACAGATAGGCTTCGGTTGAATAACACAGGTGTGAAGTAGAAGTAGATGAAATGTTAGTGCATTGTTAAAGTAATGGGGATACGAGTAAGTGAGATTATGCTAACTTCTAATTTAGGTTTTCTGCATCACATCTATGCAGTGCGTTCCCATCTTTATCTGTATTTAACAAATATGTCTGAAATAGAAGCACTAAGTTATCAACTGGTGCTTCACTCTGTCACTATTAGTTTATGTAAATACTAATAGGTGGAACTGTAGCCTAGTGGTTAGAGCATTGCGCTTGGGTCCCGGAGTTCAATTCCCACAGACTGCCACTCTGGGTCCCTGAGCAAGACCCTTAACCGCACACTTCTTCCAGGGTGCATCACAGGGGTAGCCCACTGTCCCTAAGGGGATGGGTTAAAAGCAGTGGTGAATTTCTCCATTGTGAGATTATTACATTTCAATTATTATCAGTACAGTAGCTTTATGTCTGTAACTGAATGTTTCACTTTTTATTCAGCCGATATGGTCTTACAGCAAAAAAACAAACATTAGTGCTAAACTTTGTTTGTAGGTAAGCAAAATCTTTGCTTTTAATGATTCCAGCTTTAAAATCTTTGACGTTCTTGAATGAAACCATATGCTACATAACAGAATTAGAGATTTTGCAGGCTTGGGAGGTTCTGGTTAGAGGATCTGCATGGAATTGTGCTTTGCTGTCCCTGAAGCAGATGGTAAATGAGGCACAAAAATCAACCACAACAGAGCTGTTAATGTTTAGAGCTTTGTGGCAAATATCCAGCTTTTTAAAGTTTGACCAGCTTGTTTGGATACAAGTAAATGCTATAAGTATACTAAGTATAAAATGAACCATGAAGAGCATTCTTGATATTCAGTTTGCCTTTTACCGTCATGTAACGTCATTAATTATTTATATTAAGAGCTCACACGGCATCATTTTGTATTTTTGAGAAAACAGGAGCTGTAAAAGTGGGCTTTGCTATCTTAAAATGAATTAAGATGGAGAATGATGTATCATATCAGCAAATAAGCAAACCCAGAGCTTTATGTTTGCTTACTATACAACACAAATCCTTATTTATAAGATTTACTAATTGGTGCCAACATAACAGCTTTCCTGTACTGAGTTCAGCCTTCCTTTTACCATATTTAAAGTGTTGTTTATGTTCTAGCCTAAATGAAGGCTCAAAGTTTTAGTTCAGTTTTAGCTTCTTATGTTTTCTTCAGTTTCTTATGTTTACTCAAACTACCTTAAAATCACCTCATAGATACTGTAAAGAGCTAGATTTATTCTAGTCTTTTTCCCTCAGCAAATTCATCAGGACTGCTTTTTATATATCTTTGGTTATGGGTGATAGAGATGTTTTTTAGTGTTTAGAGTTGTTTCTCTTCTAGACATAGCTATGGCCTCGGCTTTTACTGTGACTAACTGTACCTGATCTCTTTCATCCCTTTGACATGAAAACTGTCTCAGAGCTCATCTAGTGAGCTTTTCCATTCCGAGACAGAGCCATCTATGGAGCTAGTTCACAGTTACCTTTTCTACCATAAACGTATTTATGTTAGAAAATGTACGTATTTTCCTTACTTTTGTTTTCTTTTTGTGTCTCTGCTTCTCTCTGCTTAAACCCTCTGTTGGCAAAAGGCAGCTCACACTGAACCTACTTCTACTGGAGGCTTCTTATTGTTAAAAGCTTTTCCTCTCCACTGTCACTGCATGCTCAATGTGAAAAATTGAAAATTGCAAAAATGCAAATTATTTTCTTCTGTCGCCACATGCTCATCCAGGAGGAGAGTGTCCTGCAAGCCAATGATCAGGTTGAATTGTCTCTGTAGAGTGCTTTGAGATGATATGTGAGGTTGTTCACTGATCTGGAAAAAAAAAAAAAACGTTCAATTCAGGGTCTATCAAGCTACTGTAGTAGTCAAAGTGAGGAGGTGTCAAGTAACTTACGAGTAACTTTTACAAGTGACTTTTAGTTGAGTAAAGAGGTCAACTTTTAGTTTTTATACTTTTAGTATCTATACTTCTACTTAAGTAACAAATGTGTGTACTTTTGACACCACTGTCAAAGTGCAATCAGTCAAGCTCTTTTAGTATTTCCATGTTTAATATTACTATCTTAACTAAATGAGTGAATTTGCCCTTCCTCTCTTTAAAACCATTTTAAAGTATAATAAATATTACAAAGTTTTTAACCATAAATTAGCATGTAGTCTGGACTAATTAGAATATTGTCCTCTAACATTTTTTTTTTGTTTGGATAAGATTAGCAAAGAATATTAAATGGTGTGAAATAATTTATTGTATAAAGTCTTTACACCTGTAACATGGATTAGGAGGTGTTAACTGTAAACGACCCTATGATGTTTATGGTAAAGGTAAATCCAACGGAAGGTGTGTTCCTACACGCTGTAGGAATGCTAGTGGAAGCTTAGGTGTTTTGCGACTCCTAAGTCAAATTAATCTGTTGAAAGGCTTAGAATGCACTGGAACACAGGCTTGTGTACATCAGGTGTTTACTGCTTATCTGGGTTCTTTAGTTAAATTCTAATGCAATTGTTGACTCTCTAAGTACAATATCCAGAGGGGTATGTTTACATGAGTAACTTTTAAAAACAGTTACTGTTAGTGGTAACTGTATGAGAGTACATCACTGCAAAGCACTATTAAAGGCAAAACCAACATACAAAAGTATTTGATGTCCACCCCACCTTACCTTTTTGTATCATTGCTTCTCTCATTGTAATTATGTAATATTAACTTTGTGCATATACAAAAATGACACCATAACACGTTTTTAATGTAAAATAACAAATCATTTATATTTCTGTTATATCTTTATTCGCAGGCCTTCAAGACAATCCCTGGCTCTGTGACTGTAAAATCTCTAAGCTGATTGAGATTTCCAGGATGGCTGACACACCTGTGATTTTGACAGATTTATTTTTGACCTGCACAGCACCAGAGACCCTAGCAGGTGTTCTTTTTCAGCGTGCTGAGCTGGAGAATTGCGTAAAACCATCAGTGATGGCGTCTGCAACCAAGATAACTTCAACATTAGGCAGCAACGTCCTCCTGCGATGTGATGCCTCAGGATCTCCAACACCAACTCTTTATTGGACCAAATCAGATGGTTCTCCGGTCAACAATACAGGTAAAATAAAACATATTATGTTTTTAACAAAATAAAAATCGTTGTGTTTTTTTAAGATGTATACCATCATAGAGATGATGGTAATCTCCAGAAATTAGAGAGGACAACTACCTAATGACACCTGTCTTTTTTACTCCACTATTCAGTCCAGGAGTCACCTGGGGAAGGCATTAATTGGTCCATTATGAGCTTGCATGGAATAGAACATAAAGATGCTGGGGACTACAGTTGTACAGCAAAGAATGTTGCCGGCACTGCAAAAGCCACCATATCTCTAACCCTGGCCGGTACCATAAGCACTACTGCGCCCTCAATCCGACCCGGTGCTGAGACTGAACCGACCAAGCAGGCCACAGGGATCACTCCTTTAGCGGACAATTCCAAATCACCTATTACAGCACCAACTGCAATTCCAGGATCACTAACTACACTTTCTGTTGGCCCAAAGTCACCCAAACCAGTATCTGGCAACGGTTTTCAGAAAGGTCTGCTCAAGGAGACAAAAAACCAACCAGGAGGTGATGGAAGAAAATTTGCAGCAGATGAAAAGAGCAAAAAAAGTGGCAGTTCAAGATCTGTTAAGGACCTGGAAATTGTAGAGCAGACAGCTGACAGTGCAGTGTTGCTCTGGACAGCAGGGGGATTACTAAACGATGCAGCTCTCACGGTTGTATATTCCCCATATGGTGAGGATGACAGTAAAAGGACAGTGGAAACCAAAGCTGGAAGCGGAAAAGTGCTCCTTGATGGTCTGTCTCCTGGAATGAGATACTCAGTTTGTCTTGTAGCAAAGGTGAGTGCTGCTAAAAAAGATCCCTGCATTGACTTCTACACAGAAGACAGTGAGCAGAACAAACTTTTCTTTATCATAAGCGGCATCGCCTGCATTTTGGTTTTGCCGTTAATTGCTTTACTTGTCTACAAAATTCTCGCTCTTTACTGTAAGGGACACAACTCACCTTTAGATGAAAATGAGTTAGGAAGGGAGAGCTATGTCAAATTTGAGACAATCTCAATGAAACAAAGAACTTTTAACTCACACCCATGTGAACTTTGGGCAAGAAGACCAACAAATGAATCTGAGCGGCTATTGCTGTGCTCCCGGTCAAGTATTGACTCTCAGATGACCTACAAGAGTGATAGTTCTCGGTCTGAGTATCTCTGTTGATGTCAAAACACATTGCCAATACACTAACAATATGCTGATACACCTGCCTTTCAAGATTTTGAGGAATAACCATGAAATATACATAGATATTTATGACTGTTTTGAACTTTACTGTCAATGGGCTTTAAAGAAAGAATGTGATTTGCTGCAAGAATTATACCTATTTATGATCATTTAGAAGAGTGCTAACAAGAAAAGCTCTGTGATGGGAAGCTTAAAGGGCCCTCTGTCAACCCGTATCTCAGCCTTATTTTTCATGCAGAAATTATGCAGACATTTGGGCTCATTCATTTATCACAGAATTGTTTGTTTTCTTCAATGCCAAAACTGTTGGTGTGAACGTTGTGGTAATCTCAGAAGACCCATAACATTCTTCATCTCATCCAGTGCATCATAGTTTCTGTAAGGATCCAGCTCATTGTTGCCTTTCCACACAAAGACATTCAGTACTGTTGGTGTGTTTATTGAAACACAATAACTGAATCATTTGATAAATATGCCACATTATATTTTCTATGTAATAAAATGTTTTCTTTGTTTTAAACTAAAAATTGTTATTTCTTATTTGCATGCTCCCCGCAATGCAAGAAATACACTCCAACACTCACACACAAAAATAAAACAATATTCATTTTGTTTTCTTTTTCAATATGGTAGATGTGTCCAACCTAAATCATAAAAATCTGTGATTTATCTACAAAGGGATGCCTAACAGTGGGTTGAGTGTGTGGGGGGTGGGGGAGGTAAGGACACATTACCAGGCCTCTCCTGGTAATGTGAAAACTTAATGATGATGAGGAATATCAGGACAACTAATTCAGTTGTGCTGGAGCAGGGACAAAGCCGCAAGATGATGATACTCAAGGATAGGAGTCGGAAACCTCTATCTTGAGGAAAGATTCATGTAATTACAAAGTTGACCTTTGAAGATGGAGTTGGCATTATAATAATTAGTGCAGTGGTGCTACTAAAACAGCAGTCTCCATGTGAATCTCTAGAAAATGTAGACTCTTTCCTTCAGTCTTTAATTTACAAAAGATCACAAGGTTTCTTCAAAGGAAGTATTTTTTTTATGACATCAGAGATAAACGATCAAGGCAACAATAACAAGAAATTGAAAAGTTTGGGACCTAATGAGATTTGTTTTAGCTGTATCATGATCAGTTTATCATAATCAATTCAATTTAGTTTATTTTTATAGCGCTAATTCACAACACATCATTTCAAAGCCCTTTAGAGAGTCAATTCAGTCAGATCATAAAGCCAGATTAATAAAAAGATTTTTGCTAAGGAAAACCAGCTGATTGCATTGACTCATGGACTTTGAAGGTTGCATTTGGATGAGCTGTGATGAGACCAGAAATGTGCTTGTGTTTTCTTGTTGACTCTGCAGCAGTCCATCACACTGAGCATGCATGCAGTGAGGTGGAGAGGAAAATATTAACTTTAGCAGGAAGAAACCACCAGCAAGCCTCACTTTGAGAAACCTTCTGCCAACTGGGGGTTCAAGGAGAGAGACACAGACATACAAAAGGAACAAAGAAGCACTGATCCATAAATACTTGTGCATGTTAGAAGAAAAGGTAATGGTAAACTAGCTCTGCTATATTTATCTAACTTGCATTTTTTTTTGACCCCATCAAAGGTCAAGGAACAAAAATAAAAGACTTCAAATTCCTTTATTCAAAGTGAAGCACTGTCTATGCTTTGGAGCTGAAAATGCAAATAGTTGGAACTAATCTTTTTACAGGCTTTTCCCTCTTTAACTGAAAATGCAGACCTCTAGTTCCTACATTACAGAGATTTGAGCCCAGCAACTTCATGTCTCAAGACAATAGTGCCTTGTGCAGCCAGACAAGTAATATTAATGATATATATTCTTTGATAAAGAAAAAAAGGATAACTAAATAAAATAAAAATTTCCTTGATCTCTGATTGAAAAATTAACGGTGGTTAATTCATTAAACATTTACCTAAACTATATCTCTATTTCAGAGGTTCCCAGAGTTCATGAGTCGACAAAAGTATGCTTTTGGATTACCGTATCTTCAGAAATCAAACTAAATCCCACATATAAAATAAGAAATCTTAATTATTAGATAAACATGAGATATAAAGTTCCATCTGACCTAACCTTACTAAACAAAGAGCTACAGTAATGTTTATGTGTTGATATATGGATTTACTGTTTGTATAGTAGGTGACTGACTGAATATAGTATAAAGCGCTTTGGAGTCCTGTAACTTGAGGAGACGCTATGTAGGAAAATACTTTTACTATTGAATCTCTAGGGCTTCATGGTGACGCAGTTTGTAACACTGTTGCTTTGCAGCAAGAAGGTTCTGGGTTCAGTTCCTGGCCTGGGGTTTTCTGCATGGAGTTTGCATGTTGTCCCCATGCATGTGTGGGTTCTCTCCAGGTACTCCGGCTTCCTCCCACAGTCCAAAAACATGATTGTTAGGTTAATTGGCTTCTTTAAATTGCTCTAACATGTTTTTATGCATTGTTGTATGTCTCTGTGTTTTCCTGTGACAAACTGACAACCTGCCAGAGATAGGCACCACAAACCTGGTAGATATTGAGGGCGAAGATGGATGGATTTGATCTCTAAAGATTCAAAACACCATTAGAATCTAAATCAAACTTTTATATTAGGTTCATTGATGAATGAGCGACGATACCTTGAATTTCCCTCTGAGATCAATAAAGTATAGAGTCCCTCCCTACCAAGAAGGAACCTAAATGACAGATTTCTCTTTAGTGCAGAAGGAGCACCGTCGAGCATCCACTCTGACTATCCCAACAGTACGAAATTCAGTTACGGCAAAACTGTTCCTTTAGGTATTTCTATTTGTTAAAATATCCCAATCTTTCCCATATGTTTGAAATCCCAGTTTTCTACCTTCTGTTTTGGTTTTATGGAGTTAAAAGCTGCTAATGTATCAAAACCTTTCCTCTAAATGTTTATTCCAACTAATGTGTGACTCTGACTTAACCCACAAGTCATTTGGTGTCTGATTACCAACATTAACATTTTTATTATCTGTCTGGGGTGAAATGGTGAGCAAAGGTCAGTGACCTTCAGAACACAGACAAGACAACTTTCCCAGCTGTATAAATCTCCTGCTGCTCTACGAGGTTACCAGTGGTGGTGATGGTTCTAACAATATCCCAGTCATGAGGAGCATGAATAGAGGCTATGGTCTGTGGCCTGTGACAAACAATTTAGGGGTAATCTGTTCAACTCAGACAGCGAATTCTAGAAATGAGTCATTCTGTCAATTCGTCCTGGGAGCCAGATGAGCCTCGATAGGAGACAGTCAGCCATGCTGACGTTTTATTTACCCAGCTATTCAAAAACAAAGTGTTATCTGTGTTTTTTTCCTTGAGAGAAAATCCACATTTTTACTATAAGGTGGTCTACGCTGAAAATTAATTCATTAGGATTCATTTTTAAGGTTACATTTCTCCTATTTTTTGTTTAGGTGCGTAAACTCTCCATCTCCACCTAACAAGGACACAGATCTGTGGGAGGGGAGTAAGAGTAATATATTGTTGGGAGCTTTTTTCAGATCGGTTTAGAGAAAATCCTGCTACAATGCTAGACTAGTGTGTGCAAATTTTACCACTGGAGTGTCAGGAATTTCAAGCTTTGCTTCCAAAAGAGACTGGCAGTCAGAAGCCTGAAAGTGGGGCAAAAGCTGGACCCCACACACTCTTTTTTTCTAAGTGGAAAGCTGCAGTGAGAGTTGGTGTCTTTAGTGTGAAACCACCAGTCTTTTCAAAGGAACTCTGCATCCCCCCCAGCATGACTTCTGCTGGTATGTGGGGCTCCCAGATCTCTCGCCGTTTAAGCTTCAGACAAGCATGCCAAGAACACAGAGGAAAACTTTGCACAGATTTTGGGAATTTGTGGTAATCTTTTGTGCCAGGGATGACAGTGGGAAAACTGAAACAAAGTGCGGCCGGTACAGACCACAGGATTATGCTGGCTGCAATGATTAAAACAACGCTGGTCTGTTTCTTGGTTCAAAGTACAGGAAGCTTGGTCCTCAGTGCAACATGTTGGGATGAGCGCCTCGATGATGCAGAAGGAAACAGCAGCTGTACAGGTGAGTTTTAGACATTGTTCCCTCTAACAGTTTATCTTGAACAGTTTGAGATTAACAAAAATAATATATATATATATATATATGTATATATATATCACAGATTGTAAATGGATTTAAAGCATCATCAAAAGACTTCTGCTCTAAATAACTGCTTTAACTTTTCTACTTTCAGAAAAAAGAAAAACAAAACTGCAATAGTATATATATTTTTTTTCAAACACACAGGTCACAACTTTAAAACATAATAAAATCTGTAGTAAACTGCAGCAAATGTTGAGCCAGACAGTCGGCTGTGTGGTGTGGGTGGATGTCAGGCTGAGCTGTTGGTGAGAAGCCACATGTGAACAGATGTTAACAGATGATGAAACCCTAAATGTTTGCTGTATTACACATGAGAATATTTATTCCACGCTGTCATATTAAACTTTAGTTATATGTAGTATTGTTCAAAAAATGAGGTCTTGTCACTATCAAGACAGGAAAGTCTAGTTTTCTTTTTTACTACTGTTTTATTTCTATTAGGCCTTTATTCAACCAGGAAAGTCACCATTAAGATAATCTCTTCTGGGGGACCCCGCAAAAACATGAAAATAAAATGAAAAACAAACTAATAATGAACACTAACAAAGTATTACTTTATATAAATAGCACCATCAATCCAGCCTCAAACGCACATTGGAGTGTTTAATGCAGTACGGGGTCTGTAGGTAAAGGTTTGGTTCAACCTTTTGGGACAGAGAGCAAGTAGCGATAGTATAAAACGGTACCAATGGTGCCTGTGCGTCAATGCCTGTAAGTCAAAAAAGCCAATTCCATCCTAGAATGATATTTAGAGTGATGAGTCAAAATGTTGAGGTTCATTATAAATCTTAGAGCGCACTGATAAAGTTATGAAGGCACTGGATGAAATAGATCAACTTTGAAGCACTGCTTTAAATCCCAATTGTATATAAAGCATTTTTAAAAACAGCAAGTTTGCCAATGTGCTGTACATATCAAGATAAATAAAGCTAATAAATAAAAGCAAGAAATCCAACAGAAATGTAAAACATGTAATAGAACAGAGATAATAAAACAACTTATATGAAGTTTTGGGGAAAAAATGCATTTTTAAAGGAGACTTAAAAACAGGATGCTGATAGGTCTGTATGTTTAAAGGTAGTATTTTCCAAAGCTTTGGAGGCATAACAGAAAAAGGTCAACTGCTTCATCTAAATGTATGAAGTTTGACATTAAGACTAAATAGCAAACATAGCATGAAAAGCTACATTCAGGCATGTTGACGCTAACACAAGATGTCAAGGATCAGTACAGTTCTTTTCCAACACACTATTTAGGTTTGAAATACCATTTAAAGTAGAGGCCAGATTTTTTAGAACTCCTAAATAACACTGTTGTAAACAAAGAATTAACATTAATTTCTAGACTAAATATAAAACCCCTAACTAAAAATCAACTTTTTTTTATTATCGGTGAACAAAGATCTTTCTTTTTTTTAAACATTTTAAGTTGATCAGTGAGATATTTTATGAATAGTTGGTGATTTTGTTTTGAAGTTCCGGTCTTTCAAAGAGCAGATGATGCCACATATTCAGGGATTACTGGGAATTCCTTGCCCACAGCCTCAGAGATCCTCTACTGTACATTATAGAGGACATAACATACTACTCTAAATATTTCCCTTTGGTTCCACACACTCTCGAGCTCTTGTTTTAGAAAAGCTTAATCTTAGACTTTTCTTCAGGTTCAGTTAAATGGCAGGACATGACAAACAGGATGTGAACATTGTGGAGTGGCTGAGTTACTTCACTATTTTTTTAAAATCTTTTTTAATCTAGATTTAATATTTATCCTACGAAATATTGTTCTGGATTTCAGTTTAGCACATAATTGGCGAAAGAAATATACCTCTTCTTTACAATTATATAATAGAAACAGAGATGTTCATTAATACCAATACATTTATATGAATTTAGATCAAGTAAGGCAATAATAATCTGACATAAAAGACCTTAGGTTAAATTAACTGTATGTGCAAGTTATCGTTTTGTTACAAACATTTGATTTTGTTACTGTATTTAGTATATACTTTTTTTGGGGCTAAATAAATTAACTGTTACAGAATGTTATGAGTCTATATCTGGGAAAGGATGCTTCTTTAATAAAATATTAAGTTATTTAAACTCTTCTTCCTTACCTTGGCAATAGGAGCTTATCAGGACCAGTAACATATATTAAAGAGAGCATAATCTAATGCCATATAAAAGTAAAAAAATTATCAAATAGGGCGATTGGATGAAATTTATTAGTTTTTTTACTAATTACTTAAAAACAGCAGATTTGTTTGTGAAGGTAGATTTGTGCCTTTATTATTCAATTGAAAAAAGGTTGCATTAAACAAAAAACATATTTTCAATTAAAAAAACCTTCACTTTAATAAAAAAAAAAAAAAATTCAACCAAAGAATTAGTATTTGAATGCAAAAACATTTTTGAGACTCAAAAAATACATTTGAACACTGCTTTTCTTTGATTAAAAATGTTTTCTTTGATAGAAGTCAAGTTTTTTAATTTTAAAGCAACTTTTTTAATTGAAGTAACATTGTTTTTTGATTAGACCATATAATGGGTAGGACATTTGTCTTTATTATTCAATCAAAAAAGAAGTTGCTTTAAACAAAAAAACAAAATAAATTAAAAAAATAATAATCTTTTCAATCATAGAAAATATTTTTTTGAATGCAAGTAAAATATTTGTAAAATATTTGTGTGCTATGTGGGCTTCTCATTTTGACTGATAAACATTTCTGAAATGAAAAAGCAATCACTGCCACATTTCCACAGGCAGATCAAAAAGGTGTGGTGTGGTTTGGATGATCACCAAAGCATTGTCATTTAGAAAATATCTAATAATCAATCAATAGATAACTGAACAATCAGTCAAAGGAACTAAGGGTGTCCTGAGACAACGCTTTCATTTCAGATACAAATTAAATCAATTCAAAGCTTTTATTTTTATATGCACATTGATGTTCAATACTTTGCCACTGAAATGTGCTATATATATAAATAAACGTGCCTTGCCTAAAGAAAAACGCTTCCCAGTACAATGAATTTCTTACTTTGCTGTCGACACTGGATGCCGAGAGACTAACAAACAAAATAAAATATGCATGCTGGTCAAAAACAAAAGAAAATAGAAATGTTGAATACAGCATCAGTTTGCTACATTACCTGTATTTTCTGCTAAATTCAGCACTAAGAACGGTGTCGCACAATTAAGCAAATTAATTCAAGTAGCCAGGTATGGTGGTGCAGTAAAATAAAATGTCCCAAGATAAGGTGCATATAAGGGGGAATTCTGCCCTTTAGGGCTAGGGGCTCAGCTGTTAACCCGTCTGATTACTATGGGACAGAAATTGTCCTTAAACCTGCATCTAACTCTCCTATACCTGAGGGTAGGAGAGCATTTTGTTCATGCTGAGGATGAGTCAAGTCTTGATAATGAAGGCACCTCTCGTGTGGTAGATGCTCTGTAGGGACGGTTGTGGTGCCATGGTAATCTTAGACAGTCTTTATTACTCCCTGCAGGTCCCACACAGTGGATTTGCATTATTACTCAGGGATTAAGGTGGTCAGGGCAGACTCAAGGATGCAGGTTGTGAAAATCTTGGTTCCTCAACCCAAATTTCCTCAGCGTTTTCATGAATAAGGCTACTTCTGTGACTTCTTCCTGATGTTGTTGATATATTGATGGTGGCTGATCTATTTTCCCCCCAAACTGCACTGACATCCTGTACCCTGCCAGTTAGTAGTTTAAAAGCCAGTTACAGAGTGAGGGATAAAGTCCATGAAACCGATATTCAGCTGATGCGATATCAGCTAAAAAAAATCACTCAAACTTTTATGACTTATTTTGTCATTTGAAATATTTGAAAATATTGGATTAAGTAATATTACTTAAAAAGAGAACCATAGCAAACAGCATCAGTTATGAGAACAACTGATCCATTTATTATTAACACAGACTTTAAACCTACAGTAAATGTAATATTCAAGAGTCAAATCAAATTTGATTTATTAAAAACTTTATTAGACTATTAGACTTAAACTTGTGCAAGATAATTTTTGCATTCTGCTGGTGCTGTTGTGATCATGTCTACTCTGTGTGCGGGACACAAGTGCTGCTGTATAGGAATGCTTAAGCAGACTTAGCGCTGGAGTGCAATACATCAATATCAGACTGAGACATCCATTGTAGAAACCTTTGATTGCTGGTTGATTTTTTTTTTTTTTTGAGCTGTTCAGAGTGTTCTAGATGGAGTATATGTGAAACCGACGGTGTCTCTTGCATTGACAGAATCAGAAAAAGTCTCCAAATGTTTACTTGACTTCTAATATGCAAAACTGCATTACTTAATCACCTTCTCAGTAAACTATCACCCTGTTTCTGAGCTTAGTCATGAATCCTGATGACCTTCTTGTGAACTTCTAAACAAGCAGTTCACCAGTGATGCATCTGTTATTTGGGGCTAATGAATCCTGGGGGCCAGACATTCTGTTATGTTGTTTGTCTGGTGTTACTCATTGTTGCCATCATTCCACTGAGTTAGCAGCAGTGTCTATGGATGCACATGACAGACTTAATAGAGAACACTTTCTACCAGTTGCTATTTGTAAAAAGACCATACATTTTCAGTCTGATTATGTTCTTTTTTGGTGTGTAACAAAATCTGCAGCATGCTGGAAAGAAACTGCTAGGTAGAATCAATAATTTGGTTCTCTATTATCATCTGAAACCAGAAACATCCCTGACTAAGAAAGTCCTACCCTTCAGTTTAGTCATGGCTTGGAGGAAGGGTGGCATAAGAGTTCTTTGTTGCTAAGGTTTTATCCAGAGGCAGCTGAATTTCACCCTATTGCTCTGATGAAAGATGTGTTAATAATTCAACAGCCGAATGACAGGAAACAACTATTCAGCTGTTAGTGTCATAACAAATCTATTTTCTGTCGGCAGATTTATGTATTTAAACTGAGAAGTTTTGCTTTTTTTGCAGAGCCAAGACTCTAAAACATGACAAATAATGCAAAGATGCGCAATCATTTTGTCAGTATAGAGACACATGATAATCATTATAAATCTATAATCACTTTTCCCACTTTGCATTGTAGACTTTTCTCAAACTAAGCAGTTAAAATGTCTGGGAAATAGTTGCACATTCCTTGTTTTCCAAATTCAAGTCTGTTCCTTCTTACAGAACTCTACCTGCTATAGAAATTCATTTTATTCTCATTAGAAAGAGGAAAACAGTTCCATTATCTCCATTTAGAAATATGGTGGAAGACCTTCAAAATAAACTTTCAAAAGTAAAGGCAAAGACTTGTGTCTTTGATTTCTTGAAGTTTTCCAGCCTTTCCTCCTGTTTGGCCATGGAAAATCAATCCATCGGATGGACCTGGATGGCAAGAACCACAGAAGGCTTGGTGCTGGTGTGGGAAGCTCTATCCTGCTCGACTTTCATTACAGAGAAGAGAGGATTTATTGGGCTGACAGGAGAACAGGAGTCATCTACAAAGCATCAGTGAGAGGAGCACAGCGACAGGTGATTATAAGCAAAGAGTTTAGTGGATGCAAATAGATCCTGCTCCTTTGTATCAACTGTTTTTTTTTTTATTTGAAGCATCTAAAGTATCTTTACCTAACCCCTTAACCTCTTAAGGGCCACCGCCCAATATCAGTACATTTTTACATCACATTTTTTCCCCCCTCAAATATCACACTCAGATTGAAACACAGTGAAACGCAGCATATTATACGTCTTTAGAATCAAATGTAAGCCAACCATAGACTATAAAAAACTATAATTAATAATTTGTTATCAACTTAGAATTCATTATTTTCAGATCCTAGCTTGTTTTTTGTTTTGGTGATCCGAAAAAACACTGGATGATGACAAAAATAGGCTCATTTTGTCTGTAACACCACAGAAAACTAAGATCCAGTTATTTCCCAAAAAATTGTCAAGGTTCTCCCCTTTTGGGACTCTGAGTTTTTAGTTTTCAGTTATTAGTTTTTCTGTTTTGTTAACCTTTGGTTTATTTTCCATAATATTCAAGCAGTCTTTAGTTACTCTCTGTTTCATTTCCCCTTGGCTTCCTTCTAGTTAGTTCCACTCACACCTCTGAGTATTTAGTCCACCCTTTGTTCTGTTCCCCTTGTATACTCCACCTCTGCAGTCACTCAGTGCTGCAGAGGCGGAGTATATAACGGTATATAAGGGCGTTCGAGAGCGCAGCTGTCCTCGAGAGTGGATGCTGGATTGGAAACAGTGCCTGCTGTGAGATCCTTAGCATGATCCAAAGCTCGTGTGTGGGGAGCTGGTGCACGCAGAGAGTGATTTTCTCCTCTCAAAGCGGCAGTTTCTTGCGCATGTGTGATTTTGTTCTGCTGTAGTAGATAAACCAGGTGCACAAGTAGGTTAACATACATGCGAGTATGGTTATTTTGCTCGTGGGCGTTTTGATATAAATGTGACGCCATACTGATTTGTCTCCTCAGCATTCAGTCAGGTTTGAAATATTTTAAAGGTGCAGGACACAGACCCTAATGGATCAGAGTTTGACAACCATTTAACTCTGGAAAAATAATCATCAATGAACTTCTAGATGAAAACAATATTCATCACATTAATGAATGGATACTTAGCAATACTTCCATGTGCTGTTTTAAGTTCTTGAAACTGCTGATTAACTGTATTTAAATGATTGTTTGCTCTGCAGAAACTTCACTCATCTGATAAATACATCTCAGGCCTGGCGGTGGACTGGATGGGAAACAGTGTCTACTGGACAAACAGTAGAAAGGGCGAAATAAAGAAAATGGATCTAAATGGAAAAACTAAGAGGACCATTTTAAGACACTTGCTTATGCCTCGTTTTATTAATGTTGATCCCGCTAAAAGGTAATAGATATACACTGCAAAAAAGTTATATCTAACAGTAATTTTTTCTTCAAATAAATGCATTTTTTCTCGAATTGAGGAGGTAAATGAGACAGTTTTACAATGGAACAAGACATTTTATTTTTAAAATAAGAAAAAGCAACTGTTGTTGTCTTCGGTTGTCTTCTTACAAGCACATATTATCTAATTATCTTATTTTAAGAGTAAAAATACTAATTCCATAGGCAACTCATCTTACCTACCGGGGTACTAAAATTAAGAAAATACACTGGATTTCTGAAATTTTTGCTTATTTCTAGATCATTTTTTTTTTTTGCATTGCAGTTATACTGTGATTAAGATACATCTTTTATTGTGCAGATTAATAGATATAGTTCTGTCACATTTTATGAAAAATATCTTGAATAAAGGAACTCTAATTGGGGTCATGCCTTCAGATTCCCAAGTTTTTTTTTTTTTTTTTTGCTTTTGAGGGGATGATGCATTTCCTTCCATTATATATATGGTTTGCAGATATTACACAATTTTTTGCTTATTAAGTGTTTTTTTTTTTTTTTTACAATGCCACAAAATCCTTAATTTTTTTTTTATATGAATGTATAGTTTTTGTCCTATTGCTATGATTCTACAGCTGAATAAAAATGGACTCGTATAATACTTTAAAAACAAAATATTTAAAGTTTCTATTATTAGCATGGAGTTTTAGAGTTGTAGAAAAGAAGAGTGATTGAATAATGTGGGAAAAGGTTTTCCTAGGAAATACTCACGGATCTATTTCAACAGTTCATAAAATGTTTTGCAGGTTTTTGTTTTGGCTTTCTGGTGAGACAACTTCAGAAATCCAACGATCTGATCTCACAGGACAAATAAAAATGACTGTTGTGAAGATAGCAGAGGAAATTAGAGCTTTGTCAATCGACCGAAAAGACAAAAGGTTGTTCTGGGTTGAAGTTGGTCGCCTGGGCGAGAGCTCCATTGCTTCCTGTGATTACAGCGGAAGCTCCCTGCACATCATGGACCTGCCACTTCAGTAAAAATGTTTTCTTCTCTGATTAGTTATGCACACAATTTTATTTTATAAATCTGACATTTGTCTCTAGTGCAGAAAGATGTTAATCTGAGTGTTGACATATTTTTTCAGGGTCCAGTCAATTTGGATTGCAGTTTTTCTGGAGAACATCTATTACACAGATGCTGCAGCCCGCATCATAAAGAAAATAAACAAATATGTTGGAGGACAACCAGGGAACATTAATAACAAACCACTGGTCAAACCTCCTGTGGATATAAAGGTGGTGCATCCTCTCATCCAGCCAGCAGCAAACACTATGTCATCCTTTTCAGGTCACAACAAGACTATATTTATTTTATTCTGTTTTATGTCCTTTAAATCAAAATTGATTTATTAAGATAAGCATCAGTGACATATAAAAAAGAATCTGTTTAAACAGGCTGCAGTGACCTGAGTGGGGACTGCATGAGCGTGTGTTCCCATTTGGAGGACCAAGGGCGTTGCCAGTGCTCTGAAGGCTTTGCTCTCAGTAAGCATGGCACTCATTGTGAAGGTAGGTAGGGAGTGAAGAACTTCTTGTTCAAATAATAAATATTATAATAATGACAGAGACATTTTCGTTAGGTTTATAGCTAATGTTCTGTCTAGTCTAAAAAGGGTCCACTCCTCTAACCGGGTGTCAGCAACGATACCAGACATTGGTTTAACATACCTTGGGAGTTTAGTACCGTATTTTCTGGAATATAAGCCACTACTATTTTTCACATGCTTTGAACCATGCAGTTTATAAGAAGGTGCAGCATTTGTGTTGATTTTTCCTAACAACTAGAGGAGGAATCAAAGTTGGAAATGAAAGAAAAAGGGGCTAATTTTCATTTAGTACAACATTTATTTTGCTGCATTTAAGCTGCTGAACCAATGAAGAGACAAGGCTCAACTCCTGCAGAGTTGAAATGAAGAGCTGACAAAGCCCCATGTGTCAGTAGAAGCTCTTACTGTTGTGAGCCAACAAACTAATGGCAGCTAGCATTCTTCTTCATCCCTACTCCAGGGGCAATATGTAGAGCTTCCCCTACAGGTTAGGTGGGAGACATTTTAGTAGATAACAGCGGCTTATAGCCCAATGCAGTTTATATTTGATTTTTTCAATTTTTTTCAAAAAATTTTGTGAGGTGCGCTCTATAGTCTAGAAAATACGGTATTTAAGCATGTCTCTATTCTTCATTTGAAATGACGCAATCTGGCTTCAGTTCTCATACAGTTCCTCTCATTGACATCTGTGTTATCAATTTCCCCCTGTCTCAAAAATGTGCGTATTCATATAAATGGCTCAGAGTTGGCATGACAACTGGCACATTTCCATGCCATGTTTTTTTAAATCCCAACTATTGAGTGTAAATTTGCTTATCAAGTACCTGATCCTGTATTTTTACGTACACAACGTTTATAAATGAGACCCTGGTCTTTTTTAAGTCATTTTCTCTATATTTTTTGGTATTTGATAAAACCTGTTTCAGCTGCCATAGATATATTTTTTATTTTTTATGTGTTTAACATATGTATGAAGAAATGTTTCCATAAAACGTGTTTGAAAAATACTTAGCATTAAAATGAGAATATTCATCTGATTATAACACGGTTACCTCATCACGTCTTTATATGTGGTTTAGATGTGAATGAATGCGCCCACTGGAACCACGGCTGCTCTCTTGGTTGTGAAAACATCCCGGGCTCCTATTTCTGTACTTGTCCCAATGGATACACCCTCCTACCTGATGGTAGGACATGCCAAGGTACAGAATAAAGACACACATGCTTTTTTTATTTTTATCAAGATATTATTAACTCTCAGGCTGATTTAACAATAAGGAAAAGAGACCGGAATGGCATCAATAAGGTGCACATCATCAGCACTAAAATCCGCACATTTGACAAAATGAACATCATGCCAACAGTCTAACAAAGTGGTGATAGTGTGGTGATTTGAGGCTGCTGTGATTATTGAGGAGCTGGATGACTGCGGTTAATTATTGGACCCATAACTTTCAGACAATCAGGTCTTATGGAAAGACACCGAACCACGAACTTTGATGTTATGGAGAGCAGTTTCATTCCAAATTAAATCAAAACTGTTATCAACAATTGTTGACAAATATCCCATCAAATAAATCTAAATAATATAAACAATAAACATTAACAAACCTCACCATGTTGGATACATTAACAGTTGAACCTCCTGATTATTTGTTGTACTGCTAAATTGCCCAAAGTTTTAACTCCCAAACTTTAATGTGGTCATACAACAAAAGTTCATTTCAACCTGGAGAAACTCACACACAGAAAAGTCTCAATTAGAAAAGTTGTATTAAATTCAGTGTATTTATATAGTGCTTATTTACAACATATGCACACCCTAATAGTAATCCCTCACACCAAGCATGCTTGTTGTCATGATCGGTTCTCTAATGGAGACCCAAAGATGCAGAACACCACTGACGGACACAGGATGAAAAGTTTAACAAGTTTATTTGTACAAGCACATAATATGCAGATGACTGGTTCGGGCTTGGAATCTGGTTTCACCGGAGTCTGCGTGAGAGACAACACAGTTAAGGACTGTTGACGGGGTTTTGGTTTCCAATGGTGCTCTGATAGTACCTTGAGGGTTCTTGAGGTTCTCCTTGGGAGAGTCACTGTTGGTTCTGGAGAAGGATGTGTTAGCAGAGTCCGTTAGCTGCTTCAGCGTCTCACGTCTTATTAGAACAGACCTTGGCTTGGGTTTCCTAGCTCTTGCCCAGAGCTGCTTAGAGGTTGACTGAGAATCTTCAGGGTTTGGCTCGGAGGGTCGGCTCGGCAGGTTAGCTCTTCTAGAGCTTTCAAGGAGGAAGCACGAGTCACCTAGAGGCACAGAGACAAACGTTAGAATCTGACTCGGGATTAAGGACATGGAAAAATCACTGAGATCAAGGCTTTAGCGCTGACCAACTGGAACAACACTGCGGCGTTGAGGTAAGGTCTGAAGGCAGCTTAAGTAGTGGATCCTCTGATGGTCTTGATGAGCTGCACCTGTGCAGGAGGCTCCCTCAGAGGATCCACGGCGGACTCTGCTGGAGAAAAATGGTATTTTCTCCAGCTCCCAACAGTACCCCCCCCTCAACGACCCCCCCTTGGCGGTCCGGAGGAAGTGGAAGGACGGGAACGCTCGTACTCCTCGATCAGGGCAGGATCGAGGATGTACGAGCCTGGGACCCACTGACGATCTTCTGGTCCGTAGCCCTCCCAGTCGACGAGGTACTGCCAACCGCGACCTCGTCGACGGGAGTCTACAATACGGCGGACCGTGAAGGCTGGATGGCCATCGACTTCCAGGGCGGGTGGTGGGGAGTCGGATGGCGGGCACAAGGGGCTCGAGGAAACATGCTGGATCTGGGAGACATGGAAGGTCGGATGGATTCGGAGGGAAGGAGGAAGTTGGAGACGGACAGCTGATGGGTTGATGACACGAGAGATTTTGAATGGGCCTATGAATCTCGGGGAAAGTTTTCGAGACATCCCCCTCAAGGGGATGTCTCGAGTGGAAAGCCACACTTCCTGGCCCACAGAATACTCCGGGGCGGGGCGTCTCTTGGCGTCAGCGAAACGCTTGGTTGATTCAGCTGACTGGTTGAGTGTGGCAATGGTCTCCCTCCAAATCCTTCGACAGCGACGGATGTGATGATTAACGGACAGCACAGATATCTCTCTCTCATCTGCGGGGAAAAGAGGTGGTTGATATCCAAGACTGACCTGGAAGGGCGACTGTCCAGTGGATGCAGAACGGAGAGAGTTGTGGGCATACTCTATCCAGGGAAGGTATAGGCTCCAATCCACCGGGTTATTGGACGTTAGACAGCGGAGAGTGGATTCCAGATGCTGGTTCATACGCTCGGTCTGGCCATTCGTTTGGGGATGGTAACCTGAGGTGAGAGATGGTTTGCAGCCGAGCGCAGAACAAAAAGCCTTCCATACCTGGGATATGAATTGGGGACCTCTGTCCGATAGAATCTCCTGGGGAATGCCATGAAGCCGGAACACATGTTTGATAAGAAGCTGGGCTGTCTGGAAGGCCGTGGGAAGTTTTCTCAGGGGGACTAGATGGCAAGACTTAGAGAAACGGTCGACAATGGTTAGTATGGTGGACATACCTCGGGAGACAGGGAGACCGGTGACAAAATCAATGGCTATGTGGGACCATGGACGCGAGGGAACAGGTAGAGGTTGAAGGAGACCAGAAGGAGGTTGATGCGAAGCCTTGTTGCAAGCACATGTGGGACAGGCCAACACATACTCTCTAACATCACGATGGAGCGTGTGCCACCAGAAGCGCCTGGAGATTAGAGCGACAGTCCTACTCACTCCTGGATGGGCGGAGAATTTTGCGGCGTGCATCCACTGGATCAGACGGGACCTGACAGAAGAAGGAACATATGTGCGGTTAGACGGACCGGTACCTGGATCTGGTTCGGTGGCTAGGGCTGAGTTGATTAGGTCCGTTATTTCCCAGTTGACCACTCCAACGGTGCATGAGGCTGGGAGGACAGGTTCAGGTGTCTCTGGATGATCGGCAGAGTAGAGACGAGAGAGAGAATCGGGCTTCACGTTCTTGGATCCGGGTCTGTAGGTGATAATGAGGTTGAATCTGGAGAAAAAGATGGACCACCTGGATTGGCGAGGGTTAGCTTGTTTGATTGACTGGATATGAGCCAAATTTTTGTGATCAGTCCACACAAGGACCGGATGCTCAGCTCCTTCCAGCCAATGCCTCCATTCCTCCAACGCCAGTTTGATTACCAGGAGCTCACGATCACCCACATCGTAATTTTGTTCAGCAGAGGAGAGCTTACGGGAAAAATTGGCACAAGGGTGTATTCTTTGATCTGAGTCGTCCTTTTGGGAGAGAACAGCTCCAACACCGGAATCTGAAGCGTCCACCTCAAGGATGAATTGTCTCGAAGGATCAGGTAGAATTAGCACGGGTGCTCTGGAAAACATGGATTTCAATTTCTCGAATGCAGCTTGGGCCTCGGGAGTCCACTGAAAAACTCGTTTGGAAGAAGTTAGTGAGGTTAATGGCAGGGCGGTTTGGCTATAGTTCCTGATGAAGCGGCGATAGAAGTTAACAAACCCTAAAAACCTCTGTAATTGCTTTCGATTCTCAGGTACAGGCCAATCTAGGACTGCCTTGATCTTGTCCTCAGAAGGTTTTACCTGGCTGCCCTCGAGCACAAACCCCAGAAAGGTGACTAAAGACTGATGAAATTCACATTTCTTGGCTTTCACAAACAGCTTATTCTCCAGTAGTCTCTGTAGAACGAGACAGACGTGTCTCTTGTGTTCATGGAGATCCTTGGAATAAATGAGAATGTCATCAATGTAAACAAACACAAATACGTTGAGGAAATCTCTGAGAACATCATTCACAAGGGCTTGGAAACAGGCTGGGGCATTAGTCAAACCAAAGGGCATCACCAGGTACTCAAACTGGCCCAAGGGTGTCTTAAAGGCTGTCTTCCATTCATCACCCTCTCGAATTCTGAGGAGGTGATAAGCATTTCTTAAATCCAGCTTAGTAAAGATAGTTGCACCCTGCACTGGTTCAAAAGCTGAGGCGAGAAGAGGCAGTGGGTATTTGTTTTTAATAGTTATTTGGTTCAAACCTCGATAGTCAATGCATGGCCTCAGAGAACCATCCTTCTTGCCCACGAAGAAAAAAACGGCGCCCAGAGGAGAGGATGAAGGACGGATTATTCCAGCAGCCAATGATTCGTTGATGTATTTCTCCATAGTCTCTCTTTCTGGTTTGGAAATATTATACAGTCTGTTGCTTGGAAGAGGAGCACCGGGTAAAAGTTCTATGGCACAATCGTAGGGTCTATGTGGAGGTAGGGACGTCGCACTGACCTTACTGAAAACGGGGGCTAGGTCGTGATACTCAGAGGGAACAGAAGAAAGGTCAGGAGAGTCCATCTCCCCCCCACCTCTAGGAGGCCCCGCCATCGGGGCAGCAGAACGAAGGCATGTTTCGTGGCACGTAGTAGACCAAGATTCCAGGAGACGTTTGGTCCAATTTATGTGAGGGTTATGCTTCTCCAACCACTCGAATCAGAGGACCAGGGGGGAACATGCAGAAGGAAACACAAAAAAGGTGATAGTTTCTCGGTGGTTACCTGACAGAAGTAGCTCGAGGGGCTGGGTTTGGTGGGTAACACGATGGAGTCTCTTTCCGTCTATGGCAGACACACTGAGAGGCTGAGACAGGGGAATGGTTTTAATCTGAAGCTTCTGGACGAGCTCAGAGTCGATTAGATTGCGCTCACAGCCTGAGTCGATGAAGGCGGAGAAAGAGAGACTCTGGTTATTACAGAACAAAGTAGCTGGCAGCAAAAGTCGAGGAGATTTACTTGAATTTATATGGCCCGCCAGACTCCTCATATCCTCTGGCGGGCCCCGGCTTTTGATTTTGCCGGGCAGGAGGCGATAAAGTGACCACTCTCACCACAGTATATGCAAAGTTTTCCAAGAAAACGCCTCTGTCTCTCCTCAGGAGAAAGCCTAGTGTGTCCCACCTGCATAGGCTCATTATTCCTTTCGCCTGAATGAGAGGGCTGAACAGGCAACGATAGAGTCTGTGGCTTAGATCTCTGTGTGGACATCTGCTCTGTAGAGGGAGAGAGAACAGCCATGTTATGAGTGGCAGAGGAAAAATTACTTTGCTTCTTGGAGCTGTTTCTGGCTCGGATTCTGTTATCTAATCTGATGGCGAGACGAATAAAATCGTCAAGGGAAGCTGGTTCATCGAGGGTAGCAAGTTCATCCTTGATTTGTTCATTTAGAGCCATGAAAAATGCCCCCTTTAGAGCGCTCTGGTTCCATCCGGAAGCTGCCGCTTTAACCTGGAAGTTAATTGAGAAATCAGCCACAGAAGAATTACCTTGTTTAAGGTTGAAAAGAGCTCTGGAATCGATCGTTTGGTCCGTCTCCTGGTTAAATACCTGGGAAAATTCAGCAATAAAGTCAGAAAAACTGCAATTTACACCGTCGTCGATGGCAAATCTTGCCTGAGCCCAATCTAAAGCTCTTCCTGTTAACTGAGAGAGGATGAACGATATCTTCTTGTGGTCTGAAGAAAAACAACTAGGAGAGTTCAGAAAAATCAGCCGGCACTGGAATAAAAAACCCTTACAATCTTTCATGTTACCAGAGAATTTTTCTGGGAGACTAGGACGGAACTCTGATGACGTCACAGGTTGTGACCTCGGGGGGGGGGAACTGGACCCGGAAATGGTTGCTGTGCTGATGTAGCATTAGCGCCATTGAAGTAATTAACGTAGCCTTGAATAGCTTGGTTCTGTATTTCAATATGTGCATTCAACTCACGTAAGGCCTGGCTGAATCCTTGGATTTGAGCAGCCTGTTCGTCTAGCCGACGGAGATGGTGATCTGCTGGGCCTTGAGTTTGGCCGCAGTGTTCTGTCATGATCGGTTCTCTAATGGAGACCCAAAGATGCAGAACACCACTGACGGACACAGGATGAAAAGTTTAACAAGTTTATTTGTACAAGCACATAATATGCAGATGACTGGTTTGGGCTTGGAATCTGGTTTCACCGGAGTCTGTGTGAGAGACAACACAGTTAAGGACTGTTGACGGGGTTTTGGTTTCCAATGGTGCTCTGATAGTACCTTGAGGGTTCTTGAGGTTCTCCTTGGGAGAGTCACTGTTGGTTCTGGAGAAGGATGTGTTAGCAGAGTCCGTTAGCTGCTTCAGCGTCTCACGTCTTATTAGAACAGACCTTGGCTTGGGTTTCCTAGCTCTTGCCCAGAGCTGCTTAGAGGTTGACTGAGAATCTTCAGGGTTTGGCTCGGAGGGTCGGCTCGGCAGGTTAGCTCTTCTAGAGCTTTCACGGAGGAAGCACGAGTCACCTAGAGGCACAGAGACAAACGTTAGAATCTGAATCGGGATTAAGGACATGGAAAAATCACTGAGATCAAGGCTTTAGCGCTGACCAACTGGAACAACACTGCGGCGTTGAGGTAAGGTCTGAAGGCAGCTTAAGTAGTGGATCCTCTGATGGTCTTGATGAGCTGCACCTGTGCAGGAGGCTCCCTCAGAGGATCCACGGTGGACTCTGCTGGAGAAAAATGGTAGAACTTGGAGAAACAGGAAGAACTTTCAGGAAAACCAGGCTCAGTGTGAGCAGCCATCTGCCGAGGTTGACTGGGGTTCAAGGAATCAGAGGGAGGCATAACGATAATGACATGAATGAAATTGGTTATTTGGCACTCAGGCCCCGGTAAACGACTTTGATGATGTGAATCAACATTCACTTGGATGAGTAACCTAGGAAAATGATTAAAGTAGTCTTCCACCTGAGGCCCGGACACTGGTGATGGAATAAGACAGAGGATGAGTGGGACTGAGAATAGTCTGAGAGTGAGGGAGGAGATTGGGTGGAGGTGGGTGAAAAATTTGGCTGCATGCAAGACGGAAGCTTGGCCAGAAGCTAAATGAATGGGACCTTGAAAGATGATTGGCTTTCAAGGAAGTGCTGTCTCGACATTGATTGGCTGAAGCTTGAGTGAGAGACATCTCAGGTGGTCCAGGTGAAGCTGAGTTCAGTCTTCCAGATTTAATTTTCACCTAGGCTTAATCACAGATACTTAAAATAAGGACCTAAATAATGGGGTGATATCTGTCTATCTAACTAACTATCTTTTTGGCATCCTCCTCTTTATTTTACTACACAGGTTTTCTATAGGATTTAATTCTAGGTTGAGATGACCAAGAGAGATTGATGTTGTTACTGGCTGACTTCTCCTGTGTTGAACAATTGTCCCAATACTTGGACTGATCCCAAGGTCTTTCAAAGAGGGACAGCCCCATAACAAAATAAGATGATTTTCTTCTTTTTCTTCCTTTTTAACTTCTTTTTTCTTGCACATGATGAAAAATAATCTCAATCTTCATCTAATCTAACCAAAGGAAATATCTCCATGCACTTAGATGTAGGTTGTTGATCCCAAGGTTTCAGGCAGTGATGGTTTTTTTTGTCTGCCATAACTATCACTGCATATAATTTATTTGTTCATGCATTGTTTTTGCTTTTCACTGTACAGTCTGTCCTAATTAATGATTTGTGTTTGCATTCCGATGTTTACAATCTTAAGTTGTGTTTGTACTTGTGTGCTTTTACTAGCAATTTTGCTTTGCCAACAAAATATCTGAATTTTTATTCTGTTCTATTCTATTCTAAAACATGGGTTATTCGGGCTAGCAGCAAGGCTTTTGTAATGGATAATGAAAGTGGCTTCTTCCTCTAATTTATTTACACAATAAGGATGTAAAGATTCTGATAAAACCTTTCTCTAAGATCTACAAACAAATTGAACATTGAAGTAATTGTTATTTTAGACCTTTTGTTAGTATCAATCAGTCCAGCACCAATTATGTTGATATAAAAAAAAACAGGAAAACTAGATTGTCTCTCTTGCATTGAATACATATATTTGTTTAAAATGTACTTTTAAATGTTTTTATTTTTTTTATTTTTCATCTGATATAAAAATAAATGTATTTCTAAGCCTTATAGACATCTTTAGCAGGTATACCACAGACTGCTGCTGTGAATATGTATCTCTCTGCTTTATCATTTTTGCAGTTTCCGTTGATCTGATGTTGTATGCATTGCAGATGGAGCTGAGACTTACCCTAACCAAGATTTAGAAATCATTATTAGAAATTAGAGCTAAATAGACACAAAATCGGGTAGTGGTGAACAGGTGATAGGCTAGTATAAGCAGCATAAAACTGCCTGTGTGCTATTTTTGTCCAACTGTCCTGCTAATCTCTTCTCCACTAATCTTACTGCTGGTAGAGGAGCACAACAGGAGAGTTTCCCAGGCACAATGGGATTAGACGGTGAGGTGACATTTGCATTGAGGAACACATCTTGTCAGCAGCTTTGTGTTTTGAAAGTATTTAGTGACCAACCTTTAGCAAGGTCCAGTGGAAAATAAGCATGTGACTAACCAGCACATTAGACAATAGAGATGAGAGCAGAGATTACCTGGGGGTGAGTTTCCTGGGCTGCAGGGAGTCGTCTTTAGTTTTAGTGAAAAAAAAACAAACAAAAGCAAAATACGACATTTATTTAAAAAAAAAAATGCAAAATGTGCAGCTTTATCATGCTGGTTTTGTTCAAAATTCAAACTTTCTCTATTAAAAACATTAATTGGACAAATTTATCATTACATAATTCCTAATCTCACTCTTCAAACAACTTCAAATAATCCCATGGTATGTTTTCTACATTTCACTAGCTGACTGTATAAATATTGGCAAAAAAATAAAACTAAATAAATAAAAGATATTTTTCCACGTTAGCATCACATCCTGCCTCTACATATCTCACCCACTTTCACTTGAACAGATATGATTGCCCTGTGCGCCCTTAATGTGCAAGCTTCTCACCTTTCTACTATTTCAATGGGCTTAGACCTGATTTCATAAAGGGATTTCACCAGAGCATTGCCTAAGAAGCTCATCTACCACCAGCGAGGCCCTAAAATAGGCCCTAAAGTCCTAAATAAGGAGCTCGACTTTCACTGTGTTAATATACATTTCCAAACACCAGTGTGCCACGCAGATTTTTTAATAATTACGAATTTAAAGCTCTTTGGTTACATTTTGGTACTAAATGAAACTGTTTATTCATTATTTTTCTTTTACAGAAATAACACCATGTGAAAGCGACATAAAGTGCGGCCATGGATGTATAGCAACAGAACATGGTCCCATGTGTGTTTGTCCTGAGGATTCTATTCTACAGGAAAATGGACACGCCTGCACTGGTACTGACATTATGACACCAGTTACATCAAGTTTAACCACCTTATTTTTACTTTTTATTGAAAGATTTACATATCAGGGATGTTTTAGATCTTGCCTGAGGTAAAAATGCCCCCCATGTGAAAACAACCAGTGTTCATACATGAAGAGGAATCTTTCATGAGCTAGAAGAACATTTAGACACCAGGAATGCATGATATATATTAGCATTAGCAGTACCTGCTGATGTTGGCCATTTTCAGACATATCAGTATACCTCCGATGCCTTGTGGTCGGTTATGTCCAGAGGGTATAAAAATACATAATATTGGTTATCCACCATAATGGTTAAATTAATATCAGTGACTGAGATGGAATCAGATTTGCACATTGGAACTTCTCCAAAAAAATAAAAAAAACAGCTATTATACATGTCCGTTTAATTAGAAAAACACTACATTACATGTTACATTTATTACCTCATGTATATTTATCTTATTCAAAAGGCTCCTTAATTTCTAAGCGTAGTTTCACATAAGATGATTAGTTGGATATCTTCCAGAGGAGGAAGAAGAATCCTGTTGGATCAATAATCAGCAATTCACCTATGCTTCAACAACAAGAGGGATTTATATGAAGAAAGCACCATGGACATGAGAGACATGCACTTTGACAGTAGTAGACAGTAGTGAGAGAAGTCTACTTTGTTAAACATGGCAATCAGAACCAAATAGTGAGGACTGCCTCAGATTTCCTCTTCCAACACCAGCTCTATAGCTCCGAGTCATATCCTCTGCTGGTTTTTCAGTGATGCAAACCTTGAGACATGTGACCTAAACAACCGACATGCCATCATTAGACACATTTGGATCTTCTGGGAACAATGACCCAAACATTGACCTAAATAGTAGTCACAGCTAGTGACGGTTGTAATGACTTCGTTAGAGACCTTAATGCCTCTATTGGTCTGACTGTTCCGACTACATCTTATACCATAAGCCTGATACTTCTAACAATGTTAAGAGCTGAAAAGTACTTTGGATGAGAAATCAAATTTCTTTATAAAATCAATCCAAGGTTCATTCTAATTAAGCATTCAGGATCACATTCATTCGTCATAACCTTTACCCCTTAATACATTAATTTATTTTTTGTTTTTCTTCATTTTCTTTCTCAATTTTATATTTTCTTCTTTTCTTTTCTTTGTGTTTACTGATTAATGTGAGGTTGTTTATTCCATTTTTAAAGAAACTAAACAGAAATGTATTAAGATTTTTTTTTTCTATTTTTTCATATCTGATACACTCTGTCCTTTTAATGTCCGTCAATGTCCACTTTCACCTTTTATGATTTGACTTTCTTACTAAAAGTAAAGGGCCTCATAAAATTATGGGTTTATTTGTGCATTGGAGCACAAGCTAGAATAATCCTGTATACTAGAGTTTTTCAGATGGGTGTATTCCCAAATAAGGGTAAAAGAACATGACTGAAAATATATATTTGTTCTTATCATTCTACAATAAGACTACTTATTTATAATCAGAGGAGAAGGGGCATCAACCAGTAAGAGAATACGCTCATTGCAAAATAGGGTTAGTAAATAAATAAATAAAAATAATGTGAGAAAAGAGCTGCATCTCTATTTTATTCTTAGATCAGGCATGTTTTTACTTAAATTCTGAGTTAGGCTGCTTACATTTTTTAATCCAGTATATTCCATTACTCACAGAGGTTGAAAGGTCAAAAAAAAAAAAAAAAAAATCAAAGTAATGTTGCTGCACTGCAAATAGACTTCCAGTTAAGTCGCATGCTTCATTGAAGCGATCACTGCTATATCTTAGCATCTTGCAGAAAATTGTCTCTTTTTCAATGTATTTATACATCCATGATTTTTTCTCTAATTTTAATTTTTCTACACATTAGGGCAACTTATGATAGATATCTTTGAATGTTCTTGTCTTGGTAATAACTTCCACTCCATAGAATGTTTTTCATGGAAGTTCTTTTAGTTTTCCAACGGTAGGTTACATGTGAGTTCTGATAAGGCTTAAAATCAATCAGTTTAGTCTCATTCTGTCTAGTAAGCTTATATGGAGACTTAATATTTAGTACCTGTTTGCTTAAAGCTTAAAATGGGTCTGTATTCAAACTGATTTGTTCCAGGTTGCTCTTCAGCAGACAGAGGCGGCTGCAGTCAGCTGTGTACCCCAGTCACACCAAACCGCTGGCAGTGTGGATGTCTGTCTGGTTACAAGCTCCACAATGATGGTAAACGCTGCATTGCAACTGGTGAGTTACTCTATAACAAAGTAGTCAGCAGAGTCAGACTAATCCACATGGCGCTCTATTTGCAGCGTAAGATTCACTGTGATAAATTTAATTATAATGTGTATTTTTCTTTCAGGACCTCCAGCCTTTCTAATTGTCGCCAATCTAATGGATGTTAGAAGAATGAACCCTGATGGAACTGAGGAACAAACTTTGGTTAAGGAACCGAGAGGAACCATCTTAGCTCTGGACTATGACCCTGTCCACCACCATGTAAAACTCAGCTTCATCTTGCAACACTTAATTCCATGCATTTTAGATATAGCATATTAAGAATAGGACTTGCTGCACCAATGAGAGATAACAATGTTTTTACATAGACATGCAGAGACATCTAGTGGCCATTTTTATCTCTTGCTCCGTGCTTGCATTGAGTATATTTGGATGACATTTTCTTTTTTAATTCAATTTTGGTCAAGGTTTATTATGCCAGCACAAGCCAGAAGACTATTGAGCGGGTTGATATGAACACTGGGACCAGAAACATTCTTGTATATAATGGTTTAGAGTCTCCAGAAGGACTAGCAGTTGACTGGATCCACCGCAACATATACTGGACTGATAAAGGGTGAGCAGTCACTGGTGGAATGCTGTCTAATAATTCTATTTGATGCTAATAAAACTCTGTTTTTATGCAGTTTGTTCATTTTTATGCCACAACCTTAAGGAAGAAATAATTGAGAAGACATTTTAGTTTCTTTATTATCTGCTGGGGGAAAAAAAATGTCATGTTTGTACACACATATGTTTGCTCCCTAGTAAGTCAGCTGTTGACTGCAGTACTTTGGATGGAGGGAACAGGAAAACAGTTGTAAAAGAGAGGCTGGAAAAGCCAAGAGGAATAGCAGTTCATCCACAAGCAAAGTAAGTTGAGTTGATTTGTTGTTCCGGTTGATTTAAATAATAATGAAAATAAATAATTAAGTTGTAGCTTTTCACACAAATATACAAGTTTATGTCAAAAGAAACAATCCCTTATTCCCGGTTGTTTGAAGGGTGTGAATAATTTTCGAAGCTCTCGTCTTGAGATAAACTGAGTGCCTTCAGCCCTTTGAGTGATACTCCTCTTACATTTCAATTTAAACCCATTTTCATCCTCTGCTCTGTTTTATATTCAGTCAAATAATATTCACAGTAACAAAGCAAGTTTATACATCTAATTTGTGTAAATGTTAACCTGAATTTATAATATCTTTAATCCCTGTAATGTTTTGTATGTATTCTCTACTTTTGGAGGAGGTTATTCTGGACTGACACAGGCTCCCGGCCTGTGGTAGAAAGTGCCACTCTGGAGGGAAGTAACCGCGTTATTATTGCCAGCACCCGCCTTTTGTCACCAACTGGTCTGACCATCGATTTCATAGACAATCGGCTCTTCTGGTGCGACCAGAAGAGGGGCCTAATAGAAACGGCTGCTTTGGATGGCTCTGATCGACAGATTCTATCAGAGAACCAAGTAGGTGAGGCTTGTTTGAAAGTTGAGTTTACAAGTGAATTTAGACATCTGCAATTAACTATTTCAAATATCCTGACAGTAATGCATGTTGCAGTTAAGTTATGTAATAGAAAATTTAGGGGGAAATGTATGAGGGAAGGTTAATTCAACAATCTACTGTTGAGCCAAAACAAATGAAGTATATCTCATCTTTTGGGGTAATTCAAAATGTATTCATAAAGCATTTTTTAATCCAGATTTGCAAAGATAAATGATTTGACCTTACATAAAATCATATGGTCCACAGAACCAAATTGCAGCTTCCCCTAATTTGAAATAATGCATTCTATAACCCAGAGCAACACAGCAGAGTCGCTTTCTAAGGCGCTGGAATTACATTTTTAACACTGCATGGGGATTTATTTGAAGGGAGGCTGTATAATTTTTTCCATAAAAGTGCATTTCAATATTAATTAGATTTTTACAGCATTGCATGAACAAGAGAAAAAGAAAATATAAGCTTTAGGTTTGGTACCTGTGAGGAAAAGCTGTGTGCAGTTTTTTAGAGCTGATTTCAGGGGCCACAAAGATGGTGTTACTAAACCCCAATATTCTCTCAAAGAACTTTAGAATTGCTATCAGGATCAATTCTCTCACACGTTTGTTTGTAAAAAAAATTTAAATGATAAAAGGCTGACTTTATAAAAAAAATTTATTTGAATCTTGAAGTCTGGATCAAAATCCAACAATATACCAAAGTCCTGTGCTTCATTATTTAGGGGTTGACATCTGCCTCAACGACATCGGCTAGGTTTCAGTTTGTTTCTCTGTGGGTTTACACTCAGGGTGAGCATTATTTCATTTTAGTTGTAAAGAAGTAGTCTTAGTTTGATTTTTCTTTGTAATCTAAAGCTGTAAACTTTCTGCCTAAAACCATTATTACATGGGCAACAAAAGAAAAACATGAAAATTGATCATTGGTCTGAGATCTGAGCCTTAAAGCACTTCATATTCAGTAATATTGAAATCCCATCCAGTTAAACATTTGTTAAAATGAGTAAAAATCCTTCTTGAAGTGATTCCTTGTTTATGCCGTTAAGCATTAAATCCTAACTAATAATTCCTTAGTCACATCCTTTCGCCTTCTGCTGGGATTTTCTAGGACGTCCGTTTGACCTGGTGGTTTTTGAAGACAGGCTGTGGGTCTCTGAGTGGGAACACCAGCAGATACGGAGCATACACAAGCGGACGGGGAAGAAGCTGCAGCGTATCCATGGCAACTTCTTTCAGCCAGCATCAGTTGTAGTGGTACATCCTCTTGCAAAACCAGGTAACAGAAATAATAGATATGTTCTGAAACGTTACCACACAAATATAAAAATGTGAGGACATTTTAATAGTAGATGTAAAGAAGTACAATGCAAAAAATTAAAACCTAAATAAGTCATTTATTTTTCTTGAGTTGAGGAGGTAAGTGAGACACTTTGCCAATGGAACAAGACAATTTACATTTAAAATAAGAACAATCTTTTTTATTGTCTTATTTCAAGTGCATATGTTCTAAATATCTTATTTTAGGAGTAAAATCTACAAATTAGCTTATTTATCTACTCAAATTAAGGGAAATATCCTTGATTTAGGGAATGTCTACTCATTTCTAGACCATTTTACAGTGTAAAGAACTGCAAAGAGTGTAAAGAGCAACTGAGGAAAACATTTAAAACCCTGGATATTGTATGCCACATAGAAAATATGCTCTCAAAATTGAGAAAAAAACCAGTGAGAACAATGGATCCTATAGAAAAACTAGGCTTATGTTTGCGAAATTTCTCCCCCTTAGGTGCCGATGCTTGTTTTTACTTAAACGAAGGATGTGCTCAGGAGTGTGAAAGCAAGCTGGGATTTTCCCGCTGCTCCTGTTTGCCATACTTTACCCTGTCAGCTGATGGAAAAAACTGCTTATCTGTCAATTCTTCAAATGTAACTGCAGGTAAAGTGGCCAACTTCCAATTCATGTTTGGTTTTGTACTAATTTGAACTAAACTAACCCAGATGTTCATATTTCTCATATAATTATTGTATAGAAGCTGAAGAGAGTGAAAGTTCTGGTTTAACGTCTCTCAAAAACAAAACCTTACATGAGGACAGTGAACCACCGATGGGTAATAATAGGAACGCTGACCTCCATTCAGATGAGGGAAATGAACCAGCTCTGTTTACTGAAAAGATGATTTCAGGTATTTATTTATATAATCTCAATTAGCATAATGGCTATTATTTTCATGTTTGAGCAACTTTTTCTGAATCATTTGTTTCATGTGTCCTTCTCCCATTAGATAAGAAGGACTGCTTCTCGCTCCTCTGTGCTGTAAACGCCACGTGTCTGCTGGATGCTGGACACCCCCGCTGTTTATGTCAGGAAGGTTTTACAGGTGATGGACGAACATGCCTGGGTAAGGATTTACTTTAACTTGTGGTTGTTAATACAGAACCTTCACTTACATTCTAGCAGGGGTTAAACCACCTTGCTCTAAAACTGTCTATGATGGAACTTCCAACAATTATTCAAGTTATTTCTTTGCCATTTTTTTTCCATTATTGTTCAAAAGAATTTTGAGCATTCTAAAAGTATGATAAAAAAGGCTTATCTGCTATTCAATATCATCATGTTTTAGGACATTTAGGTGTTTGCTGGATTTGTATTGATAGCATCCATATAGAAAACCCCTTTATAATTTAAACTCATTTCATAATGATATTATTATGTTTATTTTTCTAAACAACTAAAATTACAATTCTAGCTCTAGAGACCACCTCACCCAGGGCAACATCTCAAAGCCACATTGATGTGACCACCCAGCACCACAAAAGCAACCCAGCAGAGAAGTGCCCCCCCAGCCATGATGCTTACTGTCTGTATTATGGAGCCTGCATTTACTTTCCTGAGATGGACTCCTATGCCTGCAAGTAAATATATTTCCTCATTTCTGGTATGTCTCTCTGAACAACAAGCTTAAAGTCTGAGTTTGGTGAAAACTTCATGCTTCAGATTATGCAGTACACTAAATTATTAAAAAGACAGCATTCGGTGAAAGATTACAGTTAACATGTTAGCTGTTGTTTTGGCTAAGAATCACCAGGTGTCGCTATTGTTCCATCATCTGGGACCTGAAAACACCAGACTGTCTGGAAGACAAGTCAGTCCTTATTATAAATTATTACAATCTGACATGCTTTTGCCATATTAAACACTAAATATGTAAATTACTTTCAGCAAAACCGCTTTAATGTTAAAAAAGCTAGATCAATTCATCACAGTCTAAACTCTGTCAACTTCTGTTCAGTATGTTTAATTTGTTGTGGAGCAACACAAATGTTGCAGATGTGGACTCAAACGGAAAGGACACATATGCTCATTGAGAACATGTAGAGCAAATCACAACCTTAACTCATAGAGATGTAGGAGCTGTATAGATCCAAAACTAATGTGTAGAGAATCAGATGACAGATAATTGAAATTTAAATCTAACTTCTGTGGAAGAGTGGCAGAATGGAGCCAATGTTAAGGGGAAATCACGAGAACCATTGCTCTCTCAGCTGCTTGAAGATGTGGGGCACATGGAAACCATGTGAATGATGGTTCGTTCAAAAGCCTCATGCTTTTGGGTTGCTCTCTAGGCCAAGGGCAGGGAGGTTGGTGAGGGCTGAATGGAAGATGGATGGAGCTGCATACCTGTACACCTGGAAGGCTGCAAAGCACAGGTGGAGCCTTCCAGGAGTAAACAGTAACCTGCACATAGAGACAGACCTACAATAAAGCGGTTCAGATAAAACCACAGTTATCGGTTGGAGCAGTCTAGTCAAAGTATAGATGCAAATCCTATTGGAATCTGTAGAATGACTTGATTATTTGATTATTGAAATATTAATAATATGGTTTGTGTGAACAGACACACACTGTCAAATCTGACTGAGGTATTTTCCACAATGTGTTTTATAAATGTTATTTTATAGTTGTGCAAAGCTGGACTTTGATTTCTAATTATATGAGAAGGTAGAAGGGCTGCTCAGTGGAGCAGTGGGAAGCCTTGAAGCAAGAAGGTTTGATTAATGGGGCCCTTCTGCATGGAGTTTGCATGTTCTCCCTGAGCATGCATGGGGTCTCTCTGGGTATTCTGGCTTCCTCCAACAGTCCATAAACATGACTGTTAGGTTAATTGGTTTCTGGGTTGCCCTGTGATGGACTGGCAAGCTGCCCAGGGTGGACCCCACCTCTCGCCCATAGACAGCTGTAGATAGGCACCAGCATCCCTCGTGACCCCGCTTGGGATAAGCGTGACGGAAAATGGATGGATGGATGGATGGATGGATGGATGGATGGATGGATGGATGGATGGATGGATGGATGGATGGATGGATGGATGGATGGATGGATGGATGGATGGATGGATGGATGGATGAATGGATGGATGGTTCTGATGAAGATTGACTCAAGTGGTCTAAAATAAAATGCACACCAGAGCATTCTTTGAAAAATTCTACCATTTTCTTTCTCCATTGGAATTCTACACTGATTTGTTGTCATTTCTCACATACAATCCATGTTTCTTGTTGTAATGTGGGTGTGAATAGTTTTTTATTGATGAATTTATGAAATTAACTGGCTGGTTACTAAACTGTGTTTACAAGAAGGCTTTTCCCCCGATTTGATCAAAGACCAGTGATGAACTCTTTTTTTTTTTTTAAAGTCTTGAGAATTTCATCTAAGGGCATATCTTAGATGAAACCTTTCAACCAGGTTAAATGATGTTAAAATGTAGAATTTCACTATATAGCATATTAATCTACTCTTTTCTCTACCATTCTGCAGTTGTGTACCAGGCTACATGGGGGAAAGATGTCAGTTCAGTGACCTGGAATGGTTGGAGCTCCAGCGGGCTGAGAAGGAGAAAGAAAGGAACCTGCTGGTTGCTAGTTGCATGGTGGTGCTTATTTCCCTCCTTTCTATCACCGCCTGTATCACCTACTGTTTCCGGTGAGTTTGAACTAAGCCCTGATAGCATTGAAGTCTAGATTTAAGGTGTAGGACAAAAAGTTGAGCAAGTAATGTGGAAACATTATAGATATTTGGTCAGAATTCAACATTTATCCACCTATGAAATGGTTTTAATCATCATTTTACCAACATGACTGAAGCTGTTTCATAATTCTTTAGTTCATTTGGACTTTAATTTGGATAATGTTTTACAATGAAATACCTGGTGAGGTCCAATTTATTCTTATTTTAAAATTCCCCATTAATTCCTGCAAACTAAAAGGTTACCGGAGACTTTGGAACAGTAACAGTAGACCCACATTATATCACATCTCCTATTATATTTAAAGTATTTAAAGCATGAGAGTAAAGTCTTTTCGTCAGTAGGTAACTTCCTACTAGCTTTAAGCAGAAGTGGGTAGTAAATTACATTTACTCAGTTAGATTTACTTGGGTAACAAGTAAAAAAAAAGTACTCTTAGGAGTAGGTTTACTCTGCCCTACTTCTTACATTTTCTTGAGTAATATTTTTGTAAAGTATGTCCTCTGTGAATAATTTGAACTATTTCAAAATCAAGTAAACATACATTAAACTGTAGCTGTTAACAGTGAAAGTTTTTCACCATTCCCCTACATATATACACTTCTCATTGTAAAGATTGTTGAAGAAAAACAAATTATTAAAGTATTTCTTTTGCATGAATTTGTTCTTTTGTATTCATGACATTTATTTATATTCTTTAGGCATTTTAGTCTTTAAAATGCCCAAAGTTGCACAAAACGTCTTTTTGCCAGCATCATTTATAAACATTAAATCTGATGTTATTATTATTTAACAGTTACTCAGTACTCAAGTAGACTTTCTACCAAATACTTGTTTTAGTTTAACTTGAGTCATTTCTTTTTATTTTATTAACATTTTATTGAGTGAATTTCAAAAATGTTATCCATCACATCTATTTCCAACATAGACTTTACAAAGCCAAATTAAATGCACAACAGTCCATGCTTGAGCTAGGGGACAATTAAACTCTTTTATCCTAACTCACATTCCTTCATGAGAAAAAGAAAAATAATCCCTTCACCTCCTCCTTACTTATGGATATATCTACTAATGTCAACTCCCATAGAAATACACATATATATTTTTTTTAACAAAAACAAAAAAAGAACAAAAAGAAAAAGAAAAACACCCCACAAAAAGAGACCAAAACTATAGAAGAACGCTCTAAATATGTGGCTCTAAGAGGTTCTCAACCCTATTTTTTTCAAACGACAAAATGACTGGTCATATAAATTTCAACCAGTTTTCCCAGTGTTTCTTAAAATTGCCAGATTTTAATCTAAAAGAAAACGTTATCCATTATATAAATATTATGCATTACTTCAACCCAATCTTCCCTTTTTGGAGCCTCTGTTTTCAGTTAATTCCTAGTTATAGCTTTCTTACTGGCTAACATGATCCTGAAAATATATTTATCCTCCTAGGTTGTCAGCTTATCAATCCCTCTACCAATGTATAAAGCGTTGAATGTTAGAGGAAGTTTTTGAGTCATTTCCTAGAAGACTACTTTTTATTTTTAATTCAGTAAAAATAAATAAATAAATAAAATAAAGTGGGGCTACTATTTTTTTCAGTACAATCTTTGGATACTCTACCCACCCCTGAGTTAAGCAAACTTTGTCTCTTTACATTTTTGATGGTAGGACAACAGTTTTTTCTTATCTCTATATCCATAAATTGGTTTTATATAGATAGTATCTAATGGTTGTTATATGGGGTTATTGACACCAAACTCCCAACCTTCCTACAGGAATCAAGGATTATATATTTGTGGCCAGTTAGTGGTCCACCAGTGATTCTTCTATTTACTTAGAATAATTGTGCAAAAATTAATGGACAGATTCTAAGTTTCAGTTGTAGGGTAATTATATGCCCATACATGTATGATAAAGTGCTGACTATAATTTACTGAGGGCACACCAATGGCCTCTGGTTCAGTTTCTCTTTCACTGGAAGCATAAAGACGGCAGAGGATGATCTGCTCCTGTAATGAATGAGCTGTCAGCGCTTAAAGGTGTTCATCAAACAAATGTGATGTTGGAGTCTCTGTAAGACGGGGGGTTCCTTACATGGAACCCTGATTGGCTGAGCGAAGCCCAACTCTTTTGCAATATTTCCCCACAAGATATCCTTAAGTAACTGATTTGTTTTATTGTTGTTTTGCCGCTTTTTCTCTCTCTCTCTCTCTTTATTTAGCTTTGCAAAAATACCCCCCATGCACACAAACACGCACACATCCTACAACATCCCAGTATTTACACTCCTGCTTCCCCAGTGGAGATGGCACGCTTTCAATTACATGGTTGGTTTAGCTTGTTCTACAGCAATTACACACAAAAATAGGTCATTCCTTCGCTACTAAATGGAGCCGGTGAGGTATGACCCCCCGTGGAAACGCTACATGGTCGCCAATAGCGCTGCCTTAAATTGCCTCCTCCACTAGACTGGTTGGCTTGCTTGTGCAGTCTGTGAGCTTGCTAGATTTGTTTCACCTGTAACCCACAAAGGGTGAAGAGGTGATATTTTACTAAATAAAACAAGTCATTATCATCATCTGTGGGTTTTTTTTTTTTTTAATCTAAATCTATTTCTCTTATCTATTAGTAATTACCTTTTTTTTCTTGAAAACTAGAAATGTGACCCTTTGGTTTTCCAAAACATGGATGGTTTTAATTGATCTTTTATTCCATAGAGCTAGAAGACTGAACCTCAAACAGGCCTCTGTGGATAACGTGAGTGAGGTCAGTGTGACTGATAAGAGCATGTCTGAGACTTCCACCACCAGTGTTCCTCAGGTAGGAGCAGCACCATTACACTCAGTCACTGTTTTGTAAGGTAACAACTGAACAGAAGTTTGCATCTTAAAAGCAGTGCAGGTCAGAAGTTTGCACCCATTATTCATTCAAGAAAACATCTCCTTAACTAAGCTTCTGGATATGCTTTTAGGCTGTTGTTATTCTTGATGGAATGATGATGGATCTGTTTGGATTTAATGCTGATGATTTTTTATCATCATCTCATTGTTAAAATTATGCCTACAAGATAACATTTTACCTTCCTAGATGTAAGAAAAGATTTTGGCTTGATGCAGCTCTCAAGAATGCTTTAGCATATATCTAACCAGATTTCTGAATCTTATTTTCAATACAGCTAGGAGTTTATCAGAACTGGCTTGGACCAAACACACTGTGGCGGTCAACCGGTTTCCAGATTCTCAATGTTGGCTTTTTTAAAACCAGAAGCAGTTTGGAATCATTGTCTTGTTTTGACATCAAGTTAAAAAGTTAAATGAAAACATGTCAAGCATGGTGGAGATGGGATCATGCTGAGGGTCTATTACACAGCCACTGGTGCTGGAACAAAAGAGATAAATAAGATTAACAAGGATTTCAGTTTATTCAAAATACCCTAAAGTTAAAAGCTAGATGCTTCAAACTTTGAGATAACTTGGTGTTTTAAGTGGACGAGGATCCCAAATATCAAAACCGGTTTTGAAATCAGTAAAGCAGGACAACAGGATCATAGGATGGCTGCAGCCATGAGTACATAATACATAAAAGCCTGGGTTGGAAAGCCAATTTAATAGTAAATAATTCACTGATTTTTTTTCTTGTAAAAGGGGTTGGTCCATGTTGCTTAACTCATGTTGATGGATACAAATCGTGTGAACTCTATGTAAAAAATATGAACCTTTACATACAAGCCTGGATTTGAGAAACCGCCCATTAAATTTAAAATATTTAATCTGTTCTTTGGTTGAAATTATTTTCTTCATTCTAAAAAAGGATGACTTGGAATGCTAGTTTCAGGCTCATTGTGAACATGTGTACACCTGTGAGCAGTACTGCAGTTATAATGTAAATGGTTTAATTTACTAATTTAGCATAAAATGACCTTAAACTGAATGTGAGATCTGTCTAGATGTCTTCTGTTTATCAATGTGTAAAAGTTACAGACATATAAGAGAAAATGCTGTTAAATGAAACTCTGCTATTCTGAATATGCTGTTTATATTCATACTCTGCTATTTGAATCCACAGATCTACATGGTAGCAAACCATCATGGGAACATTGGCGCCAACCAACTTCATCCAAGGAGAGATGTTTGTGTATTAAGCTCTACAGAAACAGGTACCAGGAAAAACTATTTGTTTTGTCTCTCTATTACAGTTGTTTTCAAACATTTTACCCCCCCCCCCCACACTATTTAAGGCATTGTTTTGTTTGTTTGTTTTTTGCAGGCAGCAACCCTCTGGCAAAAGAGTCAGCAACAACGCTAAAAGATGACGAAGGATGTGAGAGTTCAGTGCTTTCAGCAGCCACCACAGATACAATCCAATCAACAAATAGTCATTCAAGTGCATCTCTATCACTATTTAATATTGGAAATTCCACATCTATCAAACCAGAGACAGACTTCATTACTCCCGGCCCAGCCTTGTGTCCTTCCTGAAAGACATTTGCACAGCCACCTGGGTGGATTTTTAGTATTATATTATAAAATGTAAAGCTTTTGATTAATTGCTGCAATGATAGGAAGCTTAGTTCTCATAAAAGTCAAATGGAATGTGAACCAGTTCTGGTATTATTCCCCAGTTTTACATGGTGAGCCTGTTTTCAATGTGCTATTTTTTTTTCTACCTTAGAGATCCTAAATTGTAGGATTAATGATTTATGGGGGGATTAATGAGTTGTGTGTCACCAAAACAGGGCCCTAAGCAAAATCTTATTTAATTGTGACATTCAGACTCCTGATTTGACATGATCGACAAAATGTGGCCCCTTTTAGAACAGGCCCTAGGCACAGTGCGTGTACTGCGTTTAAAGCCTGGTTTATGCTCAGAAACCAGGTCATCTGCGTTAGTGTCGCAGTTGACGCAGATATGATGTGTCCTTTCAGATGCTCCACTCCTACGGTCTCTGGCATCTCAAAGTCTTCTGTAAACCCAGTGAGAAGTGTTGCAGAATATTCTGTTTTTGAAGCAATCTGTTTCAGGGATTAGCCACCAGGTCCACTTCGCCTTTAACCAGTCTGCAGATTCTGGTCTTTGGCTTGTCGCCTTATATTGTGGAGTCTTCTTGAGAATTCAATCTGTGAGTTCATTCCTTTGTCCCCGAGCACAGTGGGGGGCAGGATCACATGTCTTTGTGGGAGTTTCTTATGAGAGGTGATTTCCAGAAGTGGGAAAGGGGAGTCAAACAGCAGAGCAAGGTTAACATCAGCATGGACATTAGCCCTCCATGTATTCCTTTTTTCTAAAAGGGCAGAAATGAAGGAGAATTTGAAAAAAGAAAACATCAATTCCTCTTAAATTCCAAATAGAGAATTGGGATCTATTGGGATCAATGGTGTGGTGTTTCAGTTTTCTGGTGACATTGTTACCTTTGCCAGATATCAACATCAGAATCTACTTAGCATTTGAGAATGATATACCTGATCTTTATTTGTGGACGGACAATTATTAGCTACATTTTTCATAAAGTAGGTCATGTCATCAGTCTTATTTTCAGTTTAAGCCTAGAGAATACCCAGGCAACTTTAGAATTGATGTATTATTGAGGTCAATAATGTGATATTTGAGTCTAAGCTCCAATAATTTTGTTTTTTATTCATGTGGAAGCTCTTGCAGCAGAATTGATCAACACGTCAAAAATCTCAATGGCCAGGGAAGCCTGAATTGGCTGCTGATTAAACTCTGAATTCTTTAGTGTTTAATGTGTAGTTTTCCCAGGACAGACAAAAACAGATTATTATGAAAAATATAATATTTTTGTACAAAATTATAATGGAACCTATAAATCTATAAACACTAAGAATAAGTCCCCTATGTGGGAATAATAGCAATGATTTTTTATTTTCTAAATGTAATCCTGTAGCTTGTCCAAGCTCATGCCATGCAAGTTTGCTTCATGTACAATTTTCATTTAAAAATGGATTTATGTTTGTAGAATGAATTTTGTCATTGTTCCATTAGAACCTAGAAGATGATTAAAATATCTTGTTCCATGTGGTTGATAAAAGTTCAGACCCGTGATTTGACATCATCCAGGATGATCAAGGTTGCTTCCTTTTAACATTTGCAGTGCAATTAAATGATGATGTTAAACTTGAATGTACCTCCAACATGTCTTTTAGCAAAAGAAACTTTTATAAAACAAACATCTCGTTGCTTTCATTGAATTTTTCTGAATATATGATATGCAACACAATTAATGCAATAAAAAAAGGGCTTTATATTGTTCTTTTCGACATGTTTCACCCTGACCCTAATACTGGAACACTGGCTCAACTTTTTAAAAGAAAATAAAAACATATTAAATTTGAGTATTGTCTTTTGAAAAGTTTTCTGCCTTTTTTTTTTCAATAACTTAACGTAACGGTAGTAGGTTGGTAAGATTTTGCCAGAATTAATTGCCACACCGGCTCAAAATGAAATAACATCTGATCTACACTCACCGGCCACTTTATTAGGTACCCCATGCTAGTAACGGGTTGGACCCCCTTTTGCCTTCAGAACTGCCTCAATTCTTCGTGGCATAGATTCAACAAGGTGCTGGAAGCATTCCTCAGGGATCTTGGTCCATATTGACATGATGGCATCACACAGTTGCCACAGATTTGTCGGCTGCACCTCCATGATGCGAATCTCCCGTTCCACCACATCCCAAAGATGCTCTATTGGATTGAGATCTGGTGACTGTGGAGGCCATTTGAGTACAGTGAACTCATTGTCATGTTCAAGAAACCAGTCTGAGATGATTCCAGCTTTATGACATGGCGCATTATCCTGCTGAAAGTAGCCATCAGAAGTTGGGTACATTGTGGTCATAAAGGGATGGACATGGTCAGCAACAATACTCAGGTAGGCTGTGGCGTTGCAACGATGCTCAATTGGTACCAAGGGGCCCAAAGAGTGCCAAGAAAATATTCCCCACACCATGACACCACCACCACCAGCCTGAACCGCTGATACAAGGCAGGATGGATCCATGCTTTCATGTCGTAGACGCCAAATTCTGACCCTACCATCCGAATGTCGCAGCAGAAATCGAGACTCATCAGACCAGGCAACGTTTTTCCAATCTTCTATTGTCCAATTTCGATGAGCTTGTGCAAATTGTAGCCTCAGTTTTCTGTTCTTAGCTGAAAGGAGTGGCACCCGGTGTGGTCTTCTGCTGCTGTAGCCCATCTGCCTCAAAGTTCAACGTACTGTGCGTTCAGAGATGCTCTTCTGCCCACCTTGGTTGTAACGGGTGGTTATTTGAGTCACTGTTGCCCTTCTATCAGCTCGAACCAGTCTGGCCATTCTCCTCTGACCTCTGGCATCAACAAGGCATTTCCGCCCACAGAACTGCCGCTCACTGGATGTTTTTTCTTTTTCGGACCATTCTCTGTAAACCCTAGAGATGGTTGTGCGTGAAAATCCCAGTAGATCAGCAGTTTCTGAAATACTCAGACCAGCCCTTCTGGCACCAACAATCATGCCACCTTCAAAGTCACTCAAATCACCTTTCTTCCCCATACTGATGCTCGGTTTGAACTGCAGGAGATTGTCTTGACCATGTCTACATGCCTAAATGCACTGAGTTGACGCCATGTGATTGGCTGCTTAGAAATTAAGTGTTAACGAGCAGTTGGACAGGTGTACCTAATAAAGTGGCCAGTGAGTGTAATAAGAAAGTAGAATGCTTATTTACATATAGGGCTGAATGGACAGTCAGCTCTTCTTAGATGTATTTTTTTTTTAAGTAGGTTTGAAATGTTTGGTATGAAAGGAAAGCTTTTTGTTTCTTATTTCCATCAGACAGGAATACTAAACCAATGAACTGCAACTGGAATCTTTAGTTTTATTTCATCACAAAATAAATCATGTCTCATTACTCAGAATCTATATTCTGATCTCAACTTGTTAATGAGCCATTCAAACTACCATATTTTTTTAATAATTAAAAGACTTTTTTGACCATCTATGAACCCTCTTTGATTTGTTACACCCGATCACCCTCTTCTCAAAGCTCAGCTGTGCTCCACTGATGATGCTTTTCTATTCCCAGCAAATCTATCGCTCTAGTGGTGCTGGTACCAGTAGTGCCACCCTTCACCGCCACTCCACCTTTCATTTCCACCTCCATTTCTCTTACTCCTTCTCAAGGTTGACTGGGAATTCGTTAATAGAAGGAACCACAGCCTCTTTGTTTCGGAGCAATGGCAGCAAACAAAGCACTTTAACTCAAAAACCATCAGCAGCCACATTGATATTGATTTTTGTGGCAAGACACACTTATCTATATATTGGGCTCCATTAGTGCTAACAGATAGGTTAGAGCACCAATCCAAACAGAAGCAGATCAGCCAGCACGTTTATATGGAATCGGGTCCAGAGTCAATTTATCTTGTATTACTGTTCAATTGGGGCAACAGGGGGCAATAGAGTCGCTGACACTGAAATCGGGGTTCTCAGGAGGCCTCAGCTCTAAATGTATTACTGTGTAAGTATAATTAAAAGGAGTGTGAGATTCGTCTTTTTAAACATGCATTGCTTCTTGATGTTTTACAGAGTTTTGATCACTTCAAGTTATTTTCTACAGAATTTTAGAAGTCGTTAAGAACTAAACAGAAAAACTGAAAAGCTGACAGTTTAGGTAAGAAGTTTATATCCAGTTTATATGGTTTTCTTTCATTAATGTGGGGCTTTCAGAAACCAATTTAAACAAGAAAAAAATTAAATGGTGCAAAGTTTAGATTCATCCCTGAGTTTTTCTAGCCCACACAGACTGAAAAATATGGACGAAATGGACTAAGATGTAAGTTAGAGGAGTATGATGAAATATAAATTGAGAATGATCTCAATAACATTTTCACTGTTACGGAAACTGTTTTGTGTGACTTTTTAAAGACAGAACATTTGACTAAATATATGTTGAAATCTAAGTAATATTCATACCCTGCGTGTTTCTTGCCTTGTCTTAGAAAATGTAAGAAAAGCATTCTTGTACACCAAATAGTTTGTTGTATTTTCTATTTTAAATAACTTCTTTCAGTGTTTTGCAACTCTAAATCCAAATCCAAATAAAATAAAATAATAATAAGGACCAATCTTCTTTTCAGTCGGTCTTCTTGATCTAGTTTTAAATATTTCTGCCAGATGGGTGTAGTTTTGACTTGTCGTTCATGTTTCCAGCATGGAACAGAGGAAAGCTGATGAGGGCTAAAGGAGGAATTAGCTCCCCACTCAAAGGCTTTGCTCTGATCCTTCAGGTCACTATTTGGTCCTCCCAGCTGCCAAACAGAGCAGAGTAACACTGATTTGTGGGGATTTGTGTAGATGGGGGATGGGGGGGAGGGGGGGGGGGGGGCATCTTTTAGACTAAGACACGTGATTCACAAAGCAACAGAACATACAGAGAGCCCAAACTAGTGAAGCCCCATAAGTAGTTTCATCTCCCAGGAGACAAGGGATAAAATCTGCATCTTTAAGCATCAGTCTATCTAAAATCTGAAGACAAAATTTTCAAAGTCAAATATATTACTGATGGGTATTCACAGACCTGGATGCTGACCAAATATTTTCGTTATCCATCGTCAACAGATATCCCTAAAAAAGTAGAGAGTAGGATGCAACTTGTAGTATATTGTAGTATACTGCAGCACAAAAATATCCTCACAATAGGAGCTTTAGGTTTGGTTATAGAAATATGGAAAGCTAAATAGTTCAACCACTAGATGGCGACAGCATATAGAAACAACCTATTTGTAATGGTCAACCTACAAACAAAAACAGAAAAAAAGATAATGAAGTTGCATGATTCAAACAATTATGTCTACTTAGTAAGTTGTAGGTAAATCTATATCAGTATTATAAAAAAATATACGCTATATAAATTTGTATTTGAGACAATAAGTGCATCTGTTGAACTAACAAAGTCAGTCCAGCCTGTTCATTGTGTATTTTTTTTTATCTTGGACAGAAAAGATAATGCACCATACAGAAGGCCTAGAGAAGCATTATAAATATGCAATCCTTTTAACCCCTTTGCAGTTAGTAATAAAAATCATCCAAAATCAAAAAAAGCAAAACATAAAAAGCATAATATAATTTAGATGAGAACTAAATCCTAATCGCCAAACACTAGATCACCAGAATATTATCAGTCAGACTGACAGGCTAAGTCTAAGCTGTTCATGTAATTAAAATCCTTTGTTTATCAGTGATAATCCAGTATCTAGTAATAATCCTCTGTGCAGACCCAACTGAGTGGGATGCAGATGTATACCAACATGTCTCCCTCA